AATACAACACCACGGCTGTTCGCCACGTTTCACTATTGAGCCGATGTTATCGACTTGCCTGAATGGCTTATTGCTCTTGGTTGGAGCGTAATGGCAGCGTTGTTATTCCCCCTGCCTTGTCCAGAGCTGCGAAATAGTCCAATCAGATCGTCATTTTACCTGTTTGGAATCGAGTTTCAAGTATCTAAAGAAAATAAGCTCCGCGGTAATTGTCTAACGATGGTATCGAGTCGGTGTTTGTCGTCTTCTGTTCGGTTTGTTGTAAGACGTCACACGAGCCAATGGAATGGTAGCTCCCCGAGGACGTCACGTGATCCGGGTGAAAATGGTAGCGCCCATGTTGTGGGTTGACTCGGTGATCTAACCGTTGGGTCTAAAAATAATAGTGTTGGCTGACTCGTGTGTTGGCTTTGGGGTTGGTACTCGGGCATTGTTTGAACCGTTTTCATCTGTTTTCATTTTCTCGTGGGTTAATCAATCATCAGTGTGTATACTGTAATATACTGTACATATGGCTTAGCCTAAGTATCGTACACTTATTATGTTTGACCCAAAATTATTACTGTTCCCAAACCTAAACAGTCCGGGTAAGGTTTTGGGAAATGAACCATTAAACCGAAAATTAATATCGAAATTCTTTTTAAAAAGTATCGAATTATAAAAGAAAACGATATAACTGGACTCTTGACCAACACCCCATCCCTTAAATCACAATATGATAAACCGCCCCACACCTTACAGGATTAGGATGGACGTTATATTAATTATTATGGTCGGTACGATATAGCAAACCCCTAGTTAGATACATCTTACTTATATTGTACCATGGTATTTTGTTCCCAAACTCAAACTTTCTTTTAAACTGTATAGATCTAGATATTAGCGGCATTGCATTAATAATAATATTGGGGTATGGGGTGAGGTGAATTATACTTGAAATTATTTAATTGCTGTGGATGTATACCCTCCCTTCTTCTGATTAAATGTAACGTTTTCTGGTTTCCTTGGTAGCACCTGGTCTACTCATGTTCCGGTTGTTGCGTGAAAGTCTTCACTTCCGGAGTTTATATCTTATCGCCCCGTCTCGTGTTTATTCAGACTTCCCAACTAAAGTTTCACTACAGTAGGGCGTGGATTTTTTTTTCTCTCCCTTCATTGAACTGCGGTAGACACGGTTAAAACGTTTCTTTGTCTAGGGGTGTCCATGGTAAGACTAGCTCCGTAACATAAGTATGGCAGGCAGCCTCGACATAACCACCACACAATAACAAGTGTTTTCTCAAAGATGGAAGTCCCAAACCACAATGCTGTGGTGGTACCGTTTTACCAGGGGGTGACCATAGCAACACCATTGTCTTGAGGTGACAAACCCATTATCGAGAAAGTCATTCATCGGCAACAATCACCAAAGGAGCTTAGGCGTACCGTCGCTAAATCTAGAAGTATCCCCTTTATCCTCCAGCCGCGTGTACGCCCACAAAGTCTGTGAAGATGTCAGCTGTACATTTGTTGTATTAGAGAACATGGGTGTGGGATCCTTAAAGATGGTGCATGGGTGATTTGTTACTGTAGCCTATATACTAAAGCTAAACAAATATACTTTTGGCGTATAGACTATATATATATAGCATATCAGGAGCTAAAATGTGTTTTAAAAAGTGTTATTTGTTATGGGATGGCTTAAGTTGTTGGTTGTTTGGAAATATAATTAGGATTTTAATTTTATAACTGATCGTTTTTTTTAAGAATATGATATGCCGATTTGGTTGTTGTTTTGTTTTTTAACGAGAGCCTGTAAATAATTAAATATTTGTATTCTCCCATAGGCCTAATCGTTCACTGATTGTTTATCTTTGAGTCAGCCTCAGTAGACGAGAAATGTGCTGAGCAGCTCTGGGCTAGACGGTGCTCCAGATTTTGTTTATTGTGTTAAAATCATTCCTTTTGAAGGGGTAAACAGCGCCTGTGTCGTGTACGGATACAATAAAAATGGGTGTAGCGCTGTACAAACATTATTCCACCGCCTGTCATTGGCTTCAAGTTTGCCTGATGGCGTCCCTTTGGAGCTTGGAGGCCAAGAAAATTTAATCCGAGGCCTCTCGGTCTTACACCATACACGCGAAACACGGCGGTTTGTCTTTTCCCCTTATTCTCTCAACATTTACCCCATCTCTTCCCCCTCTCCCCTCTAGCCACGGGAAGGTTTTTGAAAAGAGCTAAGCCCCAAGTATTCTCCTTTTCTAAAAATCCCTGGGTCCCTGACACAATACTACACCGACAAACACCTAGTCCAACCCAAGCCTCACTACAGGCTCTCAATGCGCCGAGCTGTTATAGATCGTTGTTCGGCTGCTATGTCAGGTCGTCGCCATCTTGAATTGTTCGCCCGCCAGCCGATAGCGAAACTCAGAGCATGTTATGTTATTGGTGTTCTAGGCTTCGTGTTGTAGTGGCCAGAAATTGAAAATTGGGTTGTGTAAAGTGTATTTCGTTGGAATATTAGAGTATCGTTATTAGATCATAAACGTTTACATTTAGTCTAAACGATATTCTTTTGTGTCGTGGATTATTTTGTCTTGTGTGAATATTTCAAAGAAATAAATCGAGTTTTGGTGCACTGAACGTGTGTAGCGATAACAAGGAAACAAGGTCGTTGAGTTATTTCTGTAGCCTATCAGCCCCGTTTATTTCAGAAGCTGCTGTGTATTTTAAAAGGTAGGCTACAGGCAAGCATATTTGCCTAAGTTTAGATCTAGAATAGAATCTAGATAGATTCTAGATCTAGAACTTAGATCTCTCTACTCTAGTGACGTCTAGATCTAGATCTAGTCTCTACTCTACTCTGGTCTGAGTAGATTTGATCTCATTATTAAAACTAGGCTATGCCTAAGTTAAGTTTAGCTTAGGGCTAGGCTACATCAAGATTCTAGATCTAGATCTAGATCTAGAATCTAGTCAAGATTGATCTAGATTCTAGATAGATCTATCTGATCTAGATTCTAGATCTAGTTTAGAATTAAATTAAGAGTATTTTAGAGTTCAATGGAGATCAACACTCTGATGTGACTTCTTGTTTCATACCATCTTTATTTTTACTGACACTGATACTTTTGTGTTTACCAATGCAAGGTTTTCTTTAATTGCTATTCATACCTAGAGGTCTAGATCTAAGTGTATTTAGATCTAGCACTGCCACAATTAAATCACTTAGGCCTGCATTACATATGATGATTAGTCAGTCTTTAGATTTTTACTTCGGGTTACACTACATTACACAATACACATCGTCAATAGTCACATTCCTGGAGGGGGATTTAGACTAAAGTGATAGATCTATATGATGGTGGGGCTCAAAAGAAAGACATCATATTTAGGCCCAATACATTTTAAAAAATAATAAGGCCTGTATTTAAACCAAAATTTACATATTTTTAATCTCCTTTTTAAATAAACTTTGCAATGGACACCAGCGAGATGACAAGATTCCTTCCATAATGTTGTTGACATGGAATAAAAACATGCTTTTTAGATTTAGACCATTAAAAAAATATATTTTAAAAAACTTAAGCCTAAAATTAATTTAGAAATTTTATATTTTTAGAGTAAATGTTATAAAAGTTGCAAATCTAGAGAACTTGAAAATAATTAGTTGAGTTTAAGGCTACATTTCTATTTATTTTCATCAAGCCTAAGTTATAACCGGATGTTTCACTTTCATAAGACAAATATTGATTGGCTGTACAGTAACTATTTGTTTAAAAATCTTTGCAGATCAAGTTTTTAAATAACAATGCAAATTTTAAACCCCATGACCTAGCTTTCTATTTTTAGCTTACAATGTGTACAATAAAATTTATGGCGGCCTATCCAATAGCAGGATGCCATTGTTTATGTCGCCATTACACGTGAAAACCAAATTGTTTTTGCTTTTTTTTTTTAATTTTTATTTAGTTACCAAAAATATTAAAAACATCAAATACATCCAATCTTTAGTAAAGTCAGAAAAAAACCATACAGGCAGGATTTTATAATCATATTAATTGTAACTACGCCGTGCATGATTTTTAAATTAATTTATGGACCTCTCAAATACCTTTGAGACTTCTCGCTGGTGTCCATTAGCCTAGATCTATATACTTATAGTCCACTAAGTTTTTTTTTTTTTTTTAAATATACCTAATCTCGGCCCAACTCATTTAGAATTTTGTAAAGAAATTACTTTTTTTTTATTTTTTTAAATGCTAAAATTGCAATTTGGGGGTAGGAGATGCACGAGTGCTACGTTGTTAATGGGGGTGGGGGTAAATTAGCCAACAAAGTGTGCTCCGCACTGAGGATATTGAAAAGGCCTAATTATTCTTAAAAAGCATTTCTCTCTCCTACCGTAAAATGATTTTTTAATCTAAATGAAATATTTTGTGGTTGAAGCTCATTTGCATTTTTCTTTAAAGCACCTATTATTTTCCAAAAACCTGCAGAAATTAACTTGAAAAAGATACCATACTTTCTTTTTAACTTCACTAAAGAGAACAAGATTTTGGTTACATTTAGATTAAACAAGAAAAAGTTATATTACAAGTCTAATAATTTAGAGGTAAAAATTCTCAATTCATAGTTCATAATTATTGCAATCAGTAAATTATTTTTACTCATGGGTTCCACTTAAGCACATTTCTGTATTATGAAACAGTTCCCACTGTGTTTGCCCCAATAATTTATTATTTAAACTACCTTTACCACACATTACTATATTCAGCATTTAATGGTTAAACTAGTACACATCATACTGTGATACCAAAAGAGTGCTAAAGACCATATTGACTGGCAATATTTCTTTGAATTTCTTTACTTCTTTTGCAGCCTATTACTGTGTCATGGATTCCTTTAATTCTAACTTACACAATACATGCATTTTTTAAAATTATACAGTAACTGCAATGCTACAATAAAATATTTTAAAATTATTAATGTATATAACTTTCAATTTTATTATTCCACAGAGTGAACTAGTTGAGTTCTACTACTTTTGGAAAAAATCACCAGCTGCCAACAATTCAAGACCTACATACAGAAGCAGACACAGAAGACAACTAAAGAGGCAAAGCCCCAGAAATAACCAACCAGATAACGAAGGTCAGTAAGGGGAAAGAAAAAATATTTTTGTACTCAAAATGGTAGCCTGAAAATAAGTTTGTGAAAGTCGTTTATAAAATGTATTATTTTGATTTGTAAACATTAAAACTTGTGTTAACTAAACATGTTATATGGTTAAAGCAACTAGAAATGTAAAGGAAATCCTGTTCTTTATTCCCACAACTGCTTACAATGTTAATTGTTTACAATAAAATATAGAACCTTACCTTCAGCTTTAAATGCCACAACTCCGCTCTTTCCTTGCCCTCAGTATGTTTTAAGACTGACTTTAATTGTTCAACTCTTTTTAATAACCTGTCAGCTTTTATGTCTGCCGTCTTTTGAAGGGATTTTGTTGCAAAAGTAACTTGTGCTTTGCCTCTTCTCATCCATATCATGTATTGCCATTGCTATTAGATTTATTTCTCCAAGACCTCTGTAAATCTGTTTGATTTGGGGGTTGTTTTTTTTATTATTATTATTAATTTCAGTTTGTTGAATACTCTTTTACACAATTTTTTGGCTAGGTTTTTTTTTTTCTATCAACACTACTTTTTTAACATATGTGGCTCTATGCACTAAAATTATGACCTGTATCGAATAAATATTTAATTGAGTATTGATTATGAAATATTAATTTATACTAGCTTAGCTAGTGTTGAATTCTCATGGTTCTCATTATTCCTCACCTGCTTATCTTTGTTTCTTGGTTCTGTTTTAGCTCAGTTTTCTCAATATGCCCTTAAGATGTAGGGCTAATGCTCCTATAAAAGTTGTAACAAAATAAAAGATTCTTGTTGCTGTATTAATATCTTGTAAACTAGTATTATGTTCTTCCTACCTTATGACCATGGTCAATTTTGATTACAGTAAGCACTGGGAGTGAATCAGCAGGGGAAGAGTCTGAGGAGAGTGATGGAAGTCGAGATGTAGCTAATAGGTGTCAACGCTGCTTCACCACAAGTAAGTTAGAAACATGTTTTACATGTTGAAAGGTGATGTCAACCTGTTTTTTTTGTTTGAGGGTAGTTACACAACAGTAACAAAGCTAATTTGTCATGATCTGGTTTACTTAATAGTTATTGCTGGTCTGGTCAGAATAGTCTGTCCATTTCATTTGGCTGATGCTGACTGATTAGACTTAGCAAAATAAAGCAATAATTCAGGGCTTCTTTGATATTCTTATAATAGTTGCACACATTCCTTATGATGATGTTTTAATACTAAATGGATTTGATTGAATTTACATATGTTATATGCATAAGTCTATCAGTAACATTATAATAAGATGAGATTAAATATGCAGCAAAGAAATTCAAATCTTTCTCAGATATAAATAATGCTATAGAAACATTGCAAGACTTGGAGTATAGAAAAACTTATAATACCAGTGCAAATTGCTGAGAGATAGAAACAAGTAAAGCCTTTTTACAGGTCTCAGTTATTCTTAGGTTCCACTATTGATTTTTGTGTGTCTCAGACCACAGAGGATGTGTTTACTCTTCTTATTTCTTTGCTGTACCCTGGTGCATTACCCTCATCAAGCAAGTGATGAAGAAAAATATATACACTATATTTTGGGTCTAGAGTAAACAACTTTAGATAGTGAGATATTAAAATTTGATGTCATTTTTTTTTATTTTTCATAGCTCTTTTTTAAAAGTATCCCTTATCTATATTCATAGCTTCTAAAGACTGGCACAATGCTAAGGACGGCGGTGTCCTGTGCACAAAATGCCGCCTTTCTTACAAGAAGTATGGGGAGGAGTCAGGGGTAGATTCTCCACCTCCCAGCACCAGCCCAGACCAATACTTGTTCAATCCTGTCCAAGAGGACGAGGAGAGTACACCTTCCAAGCACAATATGCGCACACGTCGCAGCAATAATACAGTAGGTTTTTTTTTTACCAGGCACTGTTTTACTACACTCAACTATTAAGCAAGCTTCTTTACTTTATTTCCTTTCATTTAGTCATCAACAAACGGAAAGAAAAAAGAGTTAAACAATACTAGTAGCCCAGACGTAGAAGGTGCTGCCACCAACCCCAGCAGTGCCAACTCATCTACAACAATACCCAGTAACAATAAAGTTGCTAGGAAATCTCCAAATAACCCAGTGGTTGAAAAAGAAAATAGAAAAATAAACCAGGTATGTGTGAACTCTGCTGTCTCAGAATTTTTTTACCACTAAACTTGAAAATTATGTATTTACTCTATAAATATGTTGTTTATTTTTTAGAAACCTAAAGAGAATCATTCTGAAAAAGCTAAGAAAAGAAGAATCAACACAGAAGAAGACTCCAAGTCTGCAAAGAAGAAAAAGGTAAGCTTATGTTGTTTGTAAAGTCAGTTTTATTAAACTGTCACTTTTAAACAATGGTCATTCACTAACAATTTAACCATAGATTAAATATATATTTACTATTTGAAGGTAGCTGTTGCTTTTGTCATCTCTATCTCTGCTAAAATGTATCAACTGTTGATTGTCATCTATTGATGATTTAATTCTATTTGTTTTAATTTGTTTTCCCTTTTAGGAGAGGTCAGATTCTGAATCAGGTACAGAGAGTAGCTCAGTTTCTGGTACAGAAGACCTTGGTAACGAGGTTGATTCGGACGATAACAATCAGGTCAGTAAACATTTTTTCTGTGAATATACCATTGCAGTTTGTGTTTAAAAAAAACATACTATAATTCCCCTGTTTATGATCTTGCTTGATATTTATTTAAAAAATGCCAATGTTACATGTAGGAGGAACTAAGCAGCAGCTCAAGACCTTCAAGCCCAAGCTCCGTAGAACGTGGTTTTAAACCACTTCAACCACAGCCACCAACTGCCATCGCTCTGCCAGTCTTACCTAGCTCTGGATCAGCTGCAGCTAAGCCTGTGACACCTCCAGAAATAACAAGCACTCCTCCGGCTGCTGTGCCCACCACTGCAGTTTTCACAACTTCAACAAAAACAATATCTGGTCCTCCAGTGTCATCCCTGCTCACCTCACAGCAGTACCAGCAGCAGTTGCCAACTATACCACCATCACTTCCACCCCTCAGTGGTACAGTGCCAACTGGAACCCATCTTGTGACTTCAGGACCACCTGCAACTACATCTTTAACGCCATCTGGTGCCAATATCCATCAGCATCGTCCCCCCAGACATTCATCACCATTACCAGTGTTCAAACCAGGAATTGGTCCAGCTCCTGGCCATATATCAAATATTGGAACTATTACCAATAACAATCATAGTGGCCTTGTGCCATCACCGTGCAATTTAACCTCGCCCCTAGTGATACCTACTCCAACATTAAGTCGAGCATCTTCTACTGGGACTTTTATCCCACATACTGAACTCTCAGTCCCAGCCATATCTGTGAACATATCTGCCAATATAAATACTGTAACTACTGCTATCAGTAAAACAACATCAGCCCTGACTTCTGCGGAATCAGTCATATCTTCATCATTGTCTAACCGCTCTACTGTCATCTCAACCAGTAGCAGCAGCAACGTGAGCAATAACAATATCAATTCTCACAGAATGCAGGATTTAAACGACGAACAGGATAAGAAGCCAAATGTACCCCCACCTGGGGCATTCTTACCACCACCCCCTGGATCTGTTCCTTACACACCTTACCACACCCATCCATACTACTACAATCCCCATGGGGCCGGTCATCTTCCTCCACACTTGCATCCATCTGTTGCGATGTCAGTGGCATCTGTTGGAGGAAACCCACATCAACCTCCTCCAGTCCCAAGCCTAGTCCCTATTAAAAAGGAGCCTCACTCTCCACCACCACCATTGAAGCCATCTGACAAAGCATCAGATCTCTCCACGAGTTCATCATCTCATCCTCTCCACCGGCCACATCCAGAAAATCCAGCTAAGCTGGCTCATAGCTTCTCACAACCTAGTCTGTCCTCCTCTGCACCATTGCCACCACCTCCTCTTACAGTCATTGACCCTCGTGATGGCTCAAAGTCAGAAGATCTCTCTAAACCAGACCCATACTCAAAAGACAATCACAGGGGTCTTCCCCAATCTCCACATCGTTCAGAGTCTCTTCAATCATCTGCTCTACTCAGAGAATCTCGAATGGACAGTAATCTTAGTGTTCTGCAAGAGTCCAGAGCAATCGGACTGGTCAGTGGCTTGAATCCACCACCACCAGGACAGCATCACAAAGATGACCCAAGAGCATTGCCAGCAGCATTCCAGCCTTACTCCCATCATCACCCGTCTTCCTCATCTCTCTCTCACCATGCCGGAAGCTCAGTGCTTCAAGTTCCACAGCCCCATTTGTCATCAGACCAGTCCCATGGATCTGCCTTACATCCCTCGCAGTCACACATGCCTGACTCAAGTCACCATTTAGCTAGGTCAGCTTCCAGTTCAGACATGGACAGTCTTGTCAAGAAGGAGCCCATTACTGTAGAGGAGATAGATGTTGATGAGGATGAAGATGATGGTCGAGGATCAACAACTCCAGGTCCTACGCCAACTATGTGTAACCGTGAAATATACAAGAGTAAAAATGCTTTGTAAGTATCCAATTACTATTTTGATCAAGGCATTTTAAAAACACAGTTGGACCTTGAAAATCAAATTTGTCTCAGACGTTTTAAATAAATTAAAGTGACCTATGTAATGAATCAGCAATCACTTAGCAAATTTTACTTCTTTTCAAAACACTTAATACACTGACAGCTCACTTCTTTAAAAAGTAGATCAATAAGAGTGATTGCTATATCAATAACTGTTAACTATAAAAATGATAAAATATGTTTGACTTAATAGTTTATTTTTTGTTCAACTTATAGATTGATTTTTAGGACTTCACTTATAATAGAAGAAAAGCAGTTTTCTAGGTAATGAATAAATTGTCATTATTTTCTTTACCCACTTCAGGTTTATCAAAGTGTTTGATAGAGGCGAGAGAAATCAGTGCTCTCGTACTGACTTCACTTTTAGGCCATTAGCTGATTCAAACTTGGCAAAGAAAAGAGAAGAAAGAACAAGAAAACCCTCTCAATCATCAGCTATTAAAGAAGAAAAGGTTAGTTTCTTGAAAAATGTCAAAACAATGCCAAAAATTCAAAAATAAAACTTGAGAAAAGTTTCTGATTTTAATGCACTTACAATAAATTCTGTTAGTTTTAAAATTATTTTCTAAATATATTATCTTCAGAAACGTGTAGAGACACCTCCTCGTGCCATGTCCGCATCAGAAGGCCAGAAGTCTTCCAGCAGTAGTAGCAGCAGCAGCAACCTCAATGCCAGTAGTGGCCATCAGCATGGCATGGGGGTCGGTGCAGGATTTCAAGAAAGGCATACACCAAGACCATTTGCAGATACTCCAGCATTACGGCAGTTACATGAATATGCTAGACCACATGTTTATGGTAGGCCTCAATATAATGTTTATGGTAGGCCTCTCTATATACACACTTATTTATTAAGCTAAATAATTATTTCTAACAGAATTAGTTGGAATTATATAACATCTGTAGTTTGGTTTTTCCATGCAAAATAATTTTACAATAATAATAAACATGAATTTTACATTAATATATTTGGCTACTTGAACTTTTTAATCAAACAAATGAATTGTGCTTATTTATTTTGTTCCTATTTACTAATTTTGAATGTCTTCTTACATATCAGCAAGAGAAGGTTTGGATGACTCCTGGTCTCTGAGATTCCCTGGACAAGACTTATCCAGGAATCCTTATTCCCTGGCTGGCTTACCCCATCATCCACAAATGGACCCTCTGATGAGTTACAGGCTTATGTACCCCCCTGGTTCCAGGGAGAGGCTAGAGATGGAATTAGAACGTGATAAGAGGGAGCGTGATGCTAGGGAGCGTGAGATGAGGGAGAGAGAGCTAAGAGATCTAGAACTAAGAGAGAAAATGAAACAGGATATGGAGCTTAAACCTGGTGGGTAGTACCCAACATTATACTCTATACATTTTTTTTTTAATTCTTTGGTAGTAGTCCAGAAAATGGCAAGATTGTTCAAATGTTTGATTGTTAAGGGCCAGTGTGTTAACTGGTGGCCTAAAACAGTAATGTTTGCAATCATGTTTACACTTACCATGTACATTTTGATTACCATATCATGCACAAAAATGAATCGTTTCATTACCATGAACTTTTCTGCTACTTTGTGTGCTTTGTTTTCAAAATGCCTCATATCTTAAGTGTGTAATTCAGCTTGAAACTTCTGAACATCAAACACACTGCCATCATTTCTTCACCATCGCAAAAATCAGTTTGGACTAAGTGAAATTTTTCTAGATGTTAAATTGTTTTTTTGCATGTATTCCACCCCTTTAGAGATGGAACATTTACTCCTCCCATATTTAGGTTTGGATCGTCTCCTACCACCTGGTGCAGCCAATCAGCTCACTGATCCCAACTGGTTAGATTTGCAAAGGCGCATGGGATTCCCACCAGGCTCTGCTGGCCACCTGTTACCCCATGGTGGCCCAGGTGGAGCTGGTTCTCACCTTCCTGGAGTGTATCCACCTGTTAGTCTTGCTAGTGACCTACTGGCAAGAGAGAGGGAAAAGCTTGATAGATTGGGTATGTATACTTTGTTTTGGCTTTTCTAGATATGAAAATTTTAGTAAAAAAATTTAAATGGGAGGGAAATGAAAATTTAGAAAAAATTAATTTATTTTTTATATATTGTCAGTGCTAATTGTACAGAATTTAACTTTGTTTCCAACATAACAAAAAACAGGACTTACAGTCAGCCTACCTCAACTGGCTGAAATGTCTTATGCTAATGCTGTAGAACGTCTGTCTCAGGAGCGACAAGCAGCAGAACGCCAGGCCGCTGAGCGCGAGCGTGACAGAGAACGCTACGCTGCCTTAGCCAATGACCCAGTTGCACGCCTGCAGCTTGCTGGAGCAGCAGCTACACAGCATGCCCACACTCACACACATGCTCACTCTCACACACACCTACACCTGCACCAGCAAGAGGTGGCTCATGCACAGGCGGTTGCTCATGCGCAAGCTCACGGCCTGGCCCCGCCAGCATTCCCTCTTCCCCTTGCAGCCCATGCCCATCTGTACCCTCACCCATTAGGAGGTGGACCAGGTAGAGTACAATGACAGCAGTTTCAGGGATATAGACTTTGGAGTGCTTATTAATCTCAAAACTATTACTTACTTTCTCGTTACCAACTTATCCATGAATAGTTTTATCCACATTATTTGGTGAATTATTGGTCAATTTATTTATTAATCCACTTAAGCTTTTTCCTATCACCTTAGTGTGTTAATCTTGCAGGAACTTGATATTCACTTTCTTTTAAAGATTTAGCGTTTGCCATGATAATTTCTTCTTCTGTGGCTTTACATACAGAATTTTGTTTCTCATCACTCTTTGTGCGAGATACTTTTCAATTGATAAATACCTACTTGTCTGGAATTATTATACAGCATCTCATAAGTTTTTCAAAGAAGGCAGTTTTTTCCAGAATTACTGAAATGATTATAAAGAATATTTAGAAAAAAACCAAAGTGAAATCTTGGCAGAAGGAAGTTGATATTATTTCTAGAATTATGGATGCAATAAAATGAGAGAAAAGTAAATCCTGCAGTCTTGCCACAAGGAAGTCACATACCACAGAGAGTAGGTGCTAAGAAATGACTTAATGCTGTCTACTCTGAGGGCAGCTGGCGGGTGCAAGGGTACCTCCCTTCTTGCAAGCCATATTGACTTATGCCCCCTTGTCGTTGCAGATGGTGCTGCTGCTAGTACCACCAGCGCCAACACAACAGAGCACCTGTCCAGTCGAATGGTATACCAATATTACTCACAACGCCTTACTAGCGAACAGCATGTTTTCATGCAGAGGGTGGTCAACGAATGCTACCTCCGCACAAAGCCGGAGAGTCGTCCTATCATAGACCCCAACCACTTGATCTATCAGTTCTCTCGTAAGTTTAGATCAATCCATCTATCAGAGATTGCTCCTACCAGATGTATAAACCCCAATATCCTAAGCTTGATTGGCAACAGTTTTATTTTATTTCTTGGTTGGATTGTTTTTGTTTAAGCTTTTGTTTAGAATTAATGTGTCTGTTTATTATTTCTCTCTCTTTTTTTTCATTGCACTTCTTTATACTCATTTTCACATTTTTAGTGCAGTATTTTTCTTGTTGCTTTAAAAGTATTAACAAGTGTGTAGTTGTAGATGGTGGTTCAATGTGAAGTATATAGCAGACCTTTAACTGACCATGTTAAAGCACTCAGTTTTCAGATTAATAGAGCAGCACTCCAGGGTTTAATTCCTGTGTACAATTTTTGTTTTGTGTAGTTTAGAGCAACCTGTTTTTGTGTGGGCGTGTACTGTACATGTCTGAATGCTGAACCACCTCACTTACATAATTACTTGTATGTTTGTCTACATATTGTGTTCACTGTTTTATAAATGACATTAGAATACCCTTTCATTATTTGTGTATATATTGGTTATTGTGTGTTACAAGATATACATTTAATTTAAAGCATCATTGATACATTTGTCTGGTTACATGGGTTATTAAAACTCTGATTTGTTGGTTTAGGGGCAGACCCTTTGGCCGGAGGACCTGGAGGCTCAGTCCCTGTTTCCTCCACCAACCCATTGTCAGTTCTGCCACCTGGTGTCCCCCATCCACTGCTAGCAGCTGCGGCAGCTGGAAGCAGGGAGGAGCTGCTCCAGAGGGAGCTGTATGGTAGAAGTGGACCTTTCTTAGATCCTGCCCTTGCTCACCAGGTAAATTTTCCACTCATTTGAGTTTTTCTTAACATAGATCCATATATAATTAAAATTGTGATTTTGACAGTGATAAAAAATACCAAGCCTAATTTCTCTTCAATTTTGTTAGTTATCTGCTCAGGCAGCAGCCCATGAAGCTTTACAAAGACACATTGCTATGGAGAGGGAGAGGTATGGTTCGTCTGGACATTTGCCACATTGATAACAAGTGGATTGGTTTTTTTGTGGAGGACAACGCTGGAAAAATGAAACAGCTGATTATGCTACTGAAGTACTTCTATGGTACATAATTAAAATCACTGTAAAATTGTTACTTTGTTTTTATGTTCCATTGTTGGCCATTTTTCCCCCCCTAAAAATGCTATCAAATTGTGATTGTTAGATTATTACTGATGGCGACATTGTGAGCCATACTCTTATTACAGATTTTTCTATTCATCTTTTTCAAATCTTGTTGGCTGCTAATACACAAAAAAAAATTGGTTGGAATTACTAGACGTCAGTGGCTGTCTTCTGTCATGCTTTATCAGCAGCTTGTATATAAACATGCAGTCACTCAACAAAACCATACATATTGCAATGGTTCATTTATTCACTTTTATTGTCTTTGTGTTTACACTATCATACTAGTGTTCTTAACAAATTCTCTATTGAATCGTTTGTAAATATTTTCTTTCTTGTTGTCAATGTGCACAGCAGGTTAACGATTATATTTATTTTCTGGAGGAAAGGTTAATTAACAACATACAAGTCAAATTGAACAAATCAGAAAATAATGGATTTGTTTAAAAAGTATCTCTTTCTTTCCCCAAATTGATGTGTATTTTTTTGTTTGGTGAAAGCAATTTTTAGATTGTCTGACAGATGTACAGTGACCTGTGATTTGTTTTAATACTCTTTGTCAGCAAATTTTTAACTGGTTTGTTTCAATTGAGAGATGTATATCCCCCTTCAATGAAATACTGGACTTTTATTGTTAATATTCATTTACAGTGTTCTGAGGGTTCAATATTTAATGCTTACTATAGTTTTTGTAACTATTTATAATGGTAGGTGCTAAGCTTTTTATGTTTCATATATTCCCTGATGACAAAATGTTGAATACATTTTTATATTCATTTCTACTGAACTACTGTGTTTTGGTCTGGTATCATTCATGTCATACTATACTTACTGTAACTAAGTTTTATATTGTTTCATTGATTCATGTTGGGTGATTGGTTTAATCACTATACTCAATCAAATTTATTACTATAATAAATTCTTTTAATGGCAAACCCATAGGACCAATATTTCTTCCTATTATATGTAATAGTTGTTTTAATGAGGTTTTTTTTTTTAAATTGTGTTTTTAGCAGCATTTTTTTTTTAACTACAACAAATGTGTTACCCTCCAGTAGAACTATTTCAAGTCATAACAATACATGTGTAACCTTTTCACTTCAATTAAACCTGTTCATTATATCTAAGACTTTTTTAAAATGTACTCTTTGAAACAAAATTAAATACTTAATAATTTTAAAACTTTTAGAGTTAATGGCAAATGCAATGATCTATTCAATGATTACCAGTGTTTATATTCCAACTTTTATGCTTGTAATTTATATTGCTGAAGTTCATTCATTCTTTTTTTTTTCATTTACCCCTCTACTTTTTTTTTAACTACTTACCCTGGGTATCTGCATGCATAATGTTTACTTCCACAAGACATTTGATCATATCAGTAATGTTCATACACTTCATCCAAGGATGATTTACATATCAAAGGTGGATTTTTTCACCTTTTATTTTTTAGTTACCGGTATTTTCAGTAAGTCAAGTCATCATCAACCCTTTATTTTTTTAAAACTTCTCCGTGTATTTACTTGTATAAAGTTAATGTACTGATTTTATTTTCCTCTTAACTTTGAGATATTTTAACCATACTCTGTGGGATGTTTGTAACCATTTACACTGATCATGGTATTGTAACTAATCCATCTTGTCAAATTCCACTCATCCTTGTATTCAATTATAGCCTCCCATCTTTTTTCTTTGAGTCCTAGCCTTTGTTCCAATATAACTTAACTGTGCAACCTCTCCCTATCAATGTTTGATTTGTATATTATTGAATCATGTGTGTATGTACACACATATATTGCTTATTTAAACATGTCCATTTTTTGTTTCCTAGAACAATTTTTAGTTCTCTATTAACAGTTGTAACTTACTGTCTATATTTATGCATTGACTTTAATATTCCCAGCAACCTTTTCTAATTATAAGTGCTTCAATAATGTGTTAGGTTTTTTTTTTCAAAATATAACATAGCAAGTCAAGATTAAGCTGTTATGATGTTTGTATTTTTATCCCAGGGCCTGCTTTTGATCAATGAATGGAAAAGGATAGTTTTAAATGTTTACTGAAGATTATTGCTTAATTTAAAGTTACTTAATCTTAAACCAGATTTTTGCTGTGCTAAGTTTGTTGTACTTTATCCCCCGCCCACAGAAGGGGAGCCGCAGGTTGGGGTGGTGGGATAACCAGAGCTCCCTAGTTGTCACCCCTTTGTTCAATTTTGTCAAGGCTCTTGTTGTCTACCTTGTATGGTGTCTGGAGATGTACATACAATGATAATAGATTACTCTAGCCCCTACCCTTCTTGTTTGGTTTATTTATTTGTGCTATTATTGGACTCCATGCAACAAAAAGGTAAAAAAATTCTGTTGGCTTTTAACTCAATATATAATTAGCTAAATTTTGAGTTTTTTAATGTCTTATTTTGTTTTTTTGTGATTTTGTACAATAAAAATCAATACAATGCACCAATTGAACTTTGTATGTTTATTTCTTTTATGTTTTTAGTTTGGTGAAAATGTTGATGGATGCTTATTTAATTTTTATGTTACATTTAAAATACTTACATACATGCCCTTCCAATTTTTACAATTTATTAATGGGAAGTTTCTCAGTTTTTATCTAGGAGGTGAAACAAGAACCAATTATCAGAACATGTCTTGTGAAACTGATGCTGAAATTTTAGTTGTGGGGGAGGCAACTGGTTTTGACATTTAGTTTTGAGGGAGGCAACTGATGCTTATATTTCGGGGGAGAGGAATTTTTTTTTTTTAAACATGGTGAGGCTATTGATCCCATCAGGGGCGAATAATCGATTTCGCCATACAAACACCTCATATATTTCTAATACTATTGCGCTCGTCAACTCAATGAATGTGTTAACCGAGCCTTTACATCGTGTTAGAAATCTATAATTTCTAGAGAGGGGCGTGGCAGGAGAAAACTAGTTGTCACAGCCAATAAAAACAGTGGGTCGTAGAGTTGGCCAGCAGCTGACACCGGGTCCTTAATGGCTTGAGCTATGGCCACATTTAGCAACATTTGGCCCAAATTTTGGTCGATGTGTGTTACTGAAACAAGCAATAGCATATTATGCCCATCTCTCTCTCTACGCTGCCCGATTGAGTCAGTGCTAGTTGTTATTATGTTATGCGTGCGAATTTACAACGGAAACGTTTATTGTAAAATCACTTTTGTTATCTCTTTTAAAGAAACTATTTTTAAACCACTCGGAACTAGTCAACGAGACTCAAAACTGGTTGACTGGCATTTAACTCGGTAAAATATAATGAAAGATGTTTTACCTGGGGATGTAGGGGAGGGTACGACGGAGCATATATTATTTAGTTTAAAAATGATGAAAATGTTATAATAATTGTCATTTTAGAGTATATTTTGGTAATTTTTTGCCGTCATATTAGTAAGCTTGCTTTTTGTGGCGGATTTTGATAATTATAGAGGTGAAGGTCAAAATCGGCTTAAACTCCATGGATTCATGTAATTATATTGAAGACCCCTTAAAGTTACTTTTTTTTTACAACCCCTTCGTATACAGTACACATCTAGTATTCAACATTCATGTTGGGGGAGGGAGTGGAGGCCTAGTTTTATGTGACGACTGGTGACGATGGAATTGATAACCATCGCATTTCCTACAAAACAACATGGTTGCTTACAACCCCCCTCCCCACTCTCCCGATGTTGAAAAGTCTAATCACAAACTGACTCTATAGATAACGGATTTGTTCTAAATATCATTAGCGGTGGCGTTGGATTGCTTTGGTTATGGGGAGGGGGGAGGTTTCCACACATACTAGCACACACGCGCATATATATATATTACTGCCAAAGCCCGAAGTACGGCCAATGCACGCAATAGCCGGCCAATGCGTGCTTTTTTTTAAGGCCCTATGTGTATGTTTGTGTAACTATGTATGTATAATACATACCAACTTGAGTTTGAGAACATGGAACTAACGCTAACACTCTGTCATCAGCTGTGAGTTGAAATTTTGGGGGTCCATAGAAAGGGCTTATAACCCCTTCCCAATATTCACCCGCCTACTCTACTGATTGTTAGAGTAGCATACTCGATGTTTATCATCAAACATCATTTCATCGACAATGTACTTTAATTCATTTCTAATTCTGGAAAGTATTCCTTGATTTAGAAATAATTGATTTATTTTTATTATTAGCATTCTGTTTTTATTAATAGTAACACAGATAACTGAAAAAAGAGGGGGGAAATGAAACGCAATTTGAGATTTAAACGTACAGGTAAACACGTTTGGATGTCATTTCGTCAAAAATTGAACCAGTAGTACAAAAAAGAAAACCAACGAAGTACAAAATCTACTGAATATTTCAAATAAACGTTTGGATTTTAATAAAGTAAGTTTTTTTTTGGTAGGGGAGAGGGGGAGGGGGTTCAATCGTAGGATGTTTATTTATAATAAAAAATTAGAATGGCATTTATACAGCTGGCTGAGTACGTGATCACCATTGTTGACATTGGTCATAAACGTGTTTTGGTAGTTTTCATCTTCTGAGTTCATATATATAATTTTGTATAGCCCCGCTCTCTCCCGGAAAATATTTATTTATACCATTGAATGTCACAATGACCTACTTAGGCTAGTTTGTTTACAGTTTAAATTCCATTACCATTTAAATACCATATGGCAAGAAAAAAAATGAACCTAAAGTAATAAGAACAGCCAGTGTTTCCTTCAGACATTTTTCTTCTGGGATGCATTTGAAACTCTCGGAGGAGCGAGGAGCGGGGGGGGGGGGGGTGGACACTGATCTTTGAAGTATAGGCCTTGACCTTTTTTGTATATTTCGTTTGGTGTGGGATGTAGATGTGCGTCGGTGTCGTCATTTCACCCCCCCCCCCCCCCCCCCCACGAAGAGATGCCTGATCCGTCAAAACCATAACTCAAGGCTTTTCAATCACATGTCTTAATATCAATGACATGTTTTTTTTTAAAACGATCTCCACATTGTCAGTTTTCTGTGCCGATGATATTAGTTTTTTTCAATGAAACATCGCCTACAACTCTTAATTAGTTTTCTTGCTGTTGCGCCGTACCACGGAAAACTAGTATTAAAAGTCGACTGCTAAATATTTTGTATTAATTAAGTCAATCATTTATCTGACTTCTTGTATGGAAGAAGTGACAAATAAACTGACGCTCCAAGGAGGAGATAACCACCCTTGCACGTAAATGAAAATGTATGTTTAACATCAATCGAGTGTAGGACTGTGTTGAAACTGTATGAGCAGCGTGACGTTAAAGTTACGTGTGGTTTGGGCAGGGAGATGACCAAGCGAGTGGCCGTCATTGGCGCCGGCTGCACGGGTCTGGCAGCCGTCAAGTGCTGCCTGGAGGAAGGTCTGGAACCCGTCTGTTTCGAGTCCTCGTCTGATGTGGGCGGTCTGTGGCGGTTCACGGAAAACGTCACCGATTCGCGTGGTTGCGTCATGAAGACGACCGTCATCAACACGAGCAAGGAAATGATGTCATTCAGCGACTTCCCGGCGCCGAGGGAGTTCCCGAACTTTATGCACCACTCCAAGGTGTTGGAATATTACCGGCTCTACGCGGACAGGTGAGTTGTTGAGTTTAAAGTGGTCTAGGATATTGTTTTCGTTTTGGTTTTTTTTTGTGTGTTTGCGTTTGTGTTTGCATTGTGTTTGCGTTTGCATTTTATTTGTGTTTTCTTTTGTGTTTGTGGGTTTTTTTTGCGTTTGCGTTTGTGTTCTGTTTGAGTTTGTATTTGCATTGTGTTTGTGTTTCGTTTTTTTTGTGTTTAGTTATGTTCTCTTCCCAAGTTGGTACAGTTAAAAAAGATTCATCGCAGGGGTATGCAGCTAGTGATATATATGGTGATTACTTTGCCTAGGTATTCTATAGAATGTTAAACATGGTAGTGTAGAATATGCTAATATCCTAGCCCCTACCCTAACCCTATTCCTAACAGAACACCCAACATTAGAGCTAAGATTATGCTTAACTTGATAAGATTAGGTATGGGATCAATAATTTAATCGACATGGGAGATGTCATCCATAAATGACGTCACGCTTCGTATGACGGACAAATAACTATTTTTAAGAGTCTTAAATGTATGGTAAATATTTCCAGGTTCAACCTGTTGACGTACATCAACTTCAACACGCAAGTCATCTCCATCAAGCCCAACTTGGCAACAAAACAACCCCACCGTCACAACACGCCAATGGCCGGCGGTAAACAGACCAGTAGCCAGATTTTAAGCCCTGAAGCAGCCAAACAAATAAAGCGCAAACAGCACTCGGCCACATCTAAAACAGACGACATCAGATTATGGGAAGTGGAAATACAAGACCATCTGGCAACAAGAAAAGAGTATTTTGATTTTGTTTTGATTTGTACTGGTCACCATGCTGATGTACATATGCCATACTTTCCAGGTGGGTTTATGGAGTGATGTGTGAACTTGAACAATTCTACAGCGTTTAGAAAAAAAGCTTATTGTAAGATTGTCCTAAAATCATAAAATGCCACAATGACGAAGTCAATTTTAAGGGGTTATTAGTAGAAAACAATTAATAATCCATTATACAAGTACTTACTAATGTCAACACTTAACTTTTTATACCCCCCCCCCCAAAAAAAAAAAAAAACCCCGCAAAAACTTCCAAACAACTCGACTTTTTTCTTCTTTTTTTTTTAAATGGCAAAAAATCGTTGAGTTTAATCAGCATTGATTTTATTCACAAGGCCAGGCAATATTTCAAGGTAAAATTGTGCACTCAAGGGACTTAAGGGACGCGGATCAAGTTTCCGGAACGCGTCATGTGGTAGTCGGAATAGGAAATTCCGGCTGCGATGCCGCGGTTGAGCTTAGCAGGCATGGCCAGGTAATGGAACCAAATAATGTTCAAAGTTTTTCATTCTCTTTAAACGTATTATAAGTTATATAGATAGTAGTATGTTACGTTAGGTCATACATCATTTGTAATGATCGATACAATGTGTGACATGCGTGGTAGATCCAATAAAATAATTACATTCTCGCGCTTATTTGTGTGAGCTCAGGTGTTTCTGAGCACGAGACGTGGCACCTGGCTCATGCACAGACTGCTGGGGCGGGGTCTCCCAGCCGACATCTCCTACATGAGTCGGTTCATCTTCGCCACGGCCTTGAGTCTCCCACATTTCATGCTGAACAAACTGGCAAGTTGGAACTTGGACCAAAAAGTAGACCACACTTTATATGGCCTTCGGTAAAAAAAAAAAAAACAACTTTATAGCCTAATTATTTTTAATAATAAAAAAAAAAAAAAAAAAAACAACAACCCATAATACAGAGGGAATGTGATAATTTATTTGAGACATTTCTAACAGTCCAAAACACGGACCTTTCGCCACACACCCAACTGTCAACGACGAGTTGCCAAATAGAATCGCGTCTGGTCACGTGGTTATAAAAACCAACATCGAATCGTTCACCGCCACAGGGATTCATTTTGAAGATGGATCCGTTGAGGAAAGTGAGTGCAGAGCCTTGTTGATGGTTAAATCTTTTTTTTTAGTGTTTTATTTCCTTAATTACTTAATATGAGGATTAAAACCTGATTAAATTTGTGTTCCTCTGTCTGATATTGACTTCCTTTACAAAACTGAATGTATTCTACACCTCAACAAAACTGTACATAGCAGACGTCCACGCTTACAAATCACGACTGGACATAGAACTAGGAGCCTGAGTCTAGTTGTTCTACCCGGAAGTCCGCTAAGTCCACGACCGATAATCACGACTAGGTGATTTTCTTTTTCAGACATCGATACTGTCGTCATGGCAACCGGCTACAGAATCGGATTTCCATTTTTGGACGAATCAGTGATGAAAGTTGAAGGCAACCACACCCAGCTGTACCTGCATATGTTTCCACCGTCCACCCACCCACCCAGCCTCGCTGTGATCGGATGTGTTCAGCCAGGGGGCGCTATAGGTCCGATTTCAGAAATGCAGTGTCGTTTGGCAGCCAGGGTGTTTAAGGTTTATTTCAACTTTAGATTCATTCTTTTCATTAGCTTTTATACAAATTTTTTCATACAAATTATTATATTCATAGCATGAATCTTGTCCAGATAAACCCCGCCAAAAAGTTAACACCCGCCATACAAAAAAAAAAAGATTATGAAAAAAAAAATGAAACTTGTACATTTAGATTTTATTGAAGAGGGTGAAATTGGGACATGCCATTAGTAATTTGAATGAAAAGGTTGCATTTTGGTACCTGTAACTCTAACGTCCCTAACCCCAACAGCAGATAAGTTTATATATTCAAATGTCTAGACATCAGAAAGGGGTCGTCCTTAAATGACGTCACACTCGTAGGGGGGAGGGGGGTCCGTAATTTTGTGACGGTGTGTGATGAGGGGAGGGGGGGGGGTTCAGATGGTGCGACGTCACACTTTTGCATTGTAAAAAAGCAATGTTAGAAAACGAATTTTAGACGTTATTTCGCCTTTTAGAAAACTGTTTTAATAAATTGTAATAGGAATTGATTAAAATACTCTATTTTGACAAGAGTTCAGACAAGATTTTTGGAAAAATATCGAAAAAAAATTCAACTGCAGTTTTTAGGGGGGGGGGGGGTTGTAGACTGATGTGTGGCGTCATTTTAGGGGGGGGGGTCTGGCTTTTTGTGACGATGTGTGACCGAGGGGAGGGGGGAGGTAAAAATCGTCAAAAAAAGCGTGACGTCATTTATGGATGACCCCAAAGAGGTCACAAGAGGCGGGGCTTAACTTTTCATATGTTCACTTTTTGCGTTAGTGGCAGAGCTTATCTGAACAATGTCAAATAGGAAAATAAAAAACATATGTTTAAAGACGAGTGTTTTTACTACACAAATTGTAGGGTGAATTAGAGTTACCTGCCCAGAAAGAAATGATCAAAGATATTACCAAAGAGAGAGAACTCTTACTGAAGCGATTCATCAAAACACAACGTCACACTGTGCAGGTGGATTATGTGCCCTACATGGACAGACTGGCCAACTTGATTGGATGCAAACCAAAATGGGGTAATTCTCAGATATGAATGGTGGGATAACTCACAAATAGGAATGGGCTAACTGGATAAGATTGGGATAATGTAGTAAATAAATGACTAACAAGGGAATTTCTTCCTCATCTGTCGGCCACATAACATATGTTATGATGAGCTGCTGGCTTACTTTGGATGAAGTAATGTTAAATGGCTTGATGCTTATACGATTGATTCATAGCTTCAACAATGTCACAAAACCAGACAAACTCTACTTCATCTATTTTGACCAAGGGTAACTTGACACCTATAGTAGAGCTGTAACATTGTTCTGGCCACACACACAAAACGAGATATTTATCAAATGTAGTTCACTTTATTGTTCATTCATAGTTTTGACACATTTTTTTTTACTGTGCAGGTGCATTGCTCAGCTCTGATCCATACCTGGCGCTGGTTTGCATATTTGGGCCATGCACGTCGTACCAGTACAGACTATTTGGGCCGGGGACATGGCCAGGTGCTAGAGACGCCATCTTGACCCAGATGGAGAGGGTCAGATTTCCATTCCACTCTAAGAGACTTGAGAACCAAAACTGTTTGGGTATCAGTGCAGCAATTGTTGGCACATTACTGTTGGGGTGTTTAGTGGTTGCATGGTTGGTGAATTGCTTTTGGGATGTTTAGTGGTTGACACATTGCTATTGGGGTGTTTAGTGGTTGCATGGTTGGCACATTGCCATTGTGGTGTTTAGTGGTTGCATGGTTGGCACATTGCTGTTGGGGTGTTTAGTGGTTGCATGGTTGGTACTAGGTAGTCCAAACTGAAATAAACCATTGATTGCAGACTTCTGGAGTGAGTATGTCATGAAAGAACTTTTAATTGTAAGGTCTATGCCACAAATTTTATAAAAATATCTCAATAAATAAAAAAGTTATGCGATTTTTAAAAAAGCAAAATTTGGTAAAAACTGATTTTCAAAAAGTGCCATTTTTGAGAACCCATATTTTTTAAACTAAATAACATAGAAGTGTGGAAATTGGTAAAGTTGCTGCAAAGTTTGTAATATATATGCCCAATTTTTTTCAGTCATCTAAAATGAGTCTTTCTAAGGTAAAAAAATAATTGAAAATGACAAAAATGCGTTTTGGTCACTTTTATTTTCATAAAAAAAAAAAATTCAATTTTTTTTTTGCTTTGGAATAACTCTAAAATTATTGTGTTGGTAACATCGACGTGGAAAAATGTGTTAATTATTTTCAAAAATCACATGAGTTAAAATATTATTTTAAAAAATACCACAGTTATCTAGTGCAGGAGAAACAGAATCAAAATTTAGTAGAGTAAATGTAATGTAATGTAGTTTAATAAAGACGTGATGCCTACAAGTGATGCAGCAGTTGATGCCACATGCTTTGGTTTCTTTTCAAACCTGATAACTGCTTTGGGGGAACAGTTTTGGGGGAACAGTTTTGGGGGAACATCTTTGTACGTCTTGTTTCCCTCAACCTTGATCTTGTGGAGCATCAAGAGTAAGTAATATGTTTTGGGAAATGTAGGGGGGAGGGGGGAGTGGGGTCTTGGCCTTCTTCCCTTCCCTTATAAGGAAAGTTCTGGATAGGCCACCGTAAATGTCTCCAGCTATGGAACGAACAATTGATATAGTGATTAATAAAATATAATTAAATTTACTACTAGCCTATTGTGTAGGCCTACTATTTGTCCTATGACTATAACTGGAAACATATGAAAAAGCCTGAAAACACCTTTGTGTTAAAAGTAATTTATACTTTATATATATTTTTAAGAGTAATTCTACTGAATGAAATTTGAAATAATCGTTGCTTGTCCCACAATGGTTGAGATATCCAATGATGAAGATGCCATACTGTGGTTCTCAACATCCTATAGGACAACTTAACTGTCCTTCATTGTTACTATTATATGCATATAAAATAAATAAATAATGAGAAATACTACTAGTACTACTTACTTACAACTAATATAACATTTAAAACTAAGTCACAACATGTAGAATCTTAATAAATTGCACCACCATCTAAAAATTGATCTGGTATATTTTATTACGGAGACTGGCGCAGACCATTTCACATTATTTAGCAGGGGAATCAGAATCAGAGTGCACAACAGAAAATAAAAAAATTAATCACATTGGTCCTTAAAATTTTGTGTCTTTTGTTTTAAATAAATCAATAAAAATGTGTAGTTATTTTAATTATACATTTCTTTTGTGTTTCATTAATATTTTATAAGTATTTAACCTTCGTTCCCTGTAAATAATTGAGTTTGTCGACATAGTTACCAGGATTGTCTGGTGGCCATTTTGAATTTGTCGATTCATAATTTTGACGTGATAGTCCAAATAAACTGTAGTAATACGACCCTATCATTAATCCCGTTCGATAGATTTTAAAGAATTAGTAAACACTAGCATCTAATAGTTAAGTGCATCCATATTTTAAGTCCCTAGAATGTCCTGAATTAAATAGCTTCACGTCTAAACACACCCTGTGTACAAGCGTAGTTCACACGCAAGAAACCGTGGACTAGTAGAGTTCAAATTTACATTAATAACGTGTACTAATTAAACCAAACTGACATTCAAACTTAAAATTCATTTATTAAAATGGAAATAAAACTTTAAAAATGGTACTTACAACTTGTTTGAAGGCTCTAGCAAGGGTAAAATCCGTTTAGCATCATCGGTCGTCAACCTTTAAAACCGTTCGGCGAGCAACTTACTCGGGGCTGAAAGTCGACTCGAGGGTTATATGTTTATTGGGGGTACGGCTTCGCGACCGTAAATCAGAAATACTTGAATTTACAACACAAAGTAGTTATAAAACTGAACTTTACATCGGTGTAAAAATTGAAACAGAATTAGTTTGTTTCCGTGTATATATCGTCATTTAAAGTTTAAAATCTGTATTTTTTAAATGAAATAAACAAGTTATTTTTTCAATTTATACATCAAACGATAGCCTAGAATTCGATCTTTAAAATGACATTAAGATTATGCTTCTACGATGCTTCGTCGCGAAGCCGCGACCAAATAAAAGAGTGTGGGGTCGATCGGTACTCGAAAAACGGTGAAATTTGTTGACGTAACTGATACTTTTCAAACAAATATAAAACACATTGAAACAGATATAAAAATACCAGATTACGACAGATAAAGACTTAAACTTTATTGACATATAATTTTTATTCTTATAGGACAACAAGAAGTAGTGAAATTTTTTTTTTAAACCGCAAAAACTGACCCTAAAACGCACTTTTTCGCCAGTTTGGACTACCTATTGGTACATTGCTGTTGGCATGTTTTAGTGGTTGCAACATTGCTGTTGGCAGTATCAAGAGGTTCAACTTTTAGAGAATTATAAATGTTTCTGTGAACTGGTTGCCTTAGTTTAGCACTAATGCTAGTGCTTGGCAGTTGTATTGTAATTAAAGATACTGTGACTAAATTCTTGGGACAGTGTAGTTGTAACTATTTTTTAAAAATGTTTTTGTAAAAACAGCACACATTTTTAGTGAATGTTGACCTATGTATTTTTACAAATGGGAAATCTCTCACCAACAACATTTTTGATGACGCAGGAAAATACATAATCTAACAGCTAAAAGTAACCTAGACCTTGACTTAAAGGAGATTGCTATAAACTGTTCTACCCATAAATAGCATTAATAAACGAGAAAATCAAAACACATTTTTAAATGAGATTTCATGTTAATATTTATTTCTCCTGGAGAAAACATGTTAATAACATTAAATAAAGATAAAGCATTTTTTTCTCACACACCTAAGTACACTAATTACATGCACACTACAGCCTTTGAGGTCAAGCTTACAGAAATTACACCTGGTTGGGATTGCACAGTGGTTATAAATTACATTCAAACAATTTCAACACATTTTATTAGTGACAAGACATGTCTAAATAATCGACTAAATTAGTTCAAATCTAAACATTCTGTCTGTAGCAAGTGGAACATGATAAGTTATTTGACCTTGACCTTGCCAGTGACCTGCCCTTGGCGAGTTGTCTCCTCTTTGGTGCCTGTTGGCTGAGTGGATACCCTGACAACAATCAGCCAAAGCCCTAGTAAAATGGCGGCATGGCAGACGTGAAGCAGACTGCTGCTTGCCACTGTGGAGGGGTAGGTGTTCCAGCAGAACTCAATCACACCCAGTAGCAGAACCCTGTGGAGAAAGATAACATTACGTACACACACATCACACATCAACATTACGTACACACACATCACCATTACGTACACACACATCACCATTACGTACACACACATCAGAACTCATTTACAAAAAAATTAAAATAAGAAACTCTACCCTTTCCGACCTGGTGGTTAGTTGAAGTAGAGTTTCTGGGACATAGGCATAGAAAAGGATGGTGTGGTATATTCTAAGACCAGCAGCCTTTACTTTCCCCCCGACATGTTAGGTACCCATTAGTGCTGGGTGGACTCGGGGACATTCGATGGACTAGTCCAGAATCTGACTGCCATCCCGAGAAACATTTTAGAAAACAGACTTCAGAATTTCATACATTGAAAATAGAAGATGTGAACCTTTGTTAAAACATTAGAAGTGAAAGGTGTTTCCACTGATGATATTTGGGTAAGGTGTTATAAAAAAAACCATTAGAAGTGAAATGGTGTTTCCCCTGATATTTGGGTAAGGTGTAAAAAAACATAAGAAGTGAAACAGTGGCTCACCTGATGATATTTGGGTAAGGTGTTGTAAAAAAAAACATTAGAAGTGAAATGGTGTTTCCCCTGATATTTGGGTAAGGTGTAAAAAAACATAAGAAGTGAAACAGTGGCTCACCTGATGATATTTGGGTAAGGTGTGAAAAACATAGTGAAACAGTGGCTCACCTGATGATATTTGGGTAAGGTGTACACCATACAAGGTAATGGAGACAATGGAAGTACCACACATAAAACTGATAGTGCAGGGATCTGCTAAAACACATGCCAATAAAATTTGCTGTAAACAAGGGATATAAGATCTGTAAACCCAGTTAAAGAAATTATTTCTTTTAGTTTTAGTTACCCAAAAATATAAAATGGCTGTGTACAGAAATTTGAATTTTAAAGAATCAAATACAATTTTTTACTCAGAAAATTGAGCTTATTATTTACAAATACAATTAATAATGTAATGAAACTTTTTGTATGAAATTATGCTTTTTTAAAATTAACCGAGATTCATTACCATTTACAAATTGAATAAACTATATTATACTCTGTTATTCAGCTTTAGTGCATACTAAAGTACCAGTACAGGTAAACTGATCTATTGTATTATTAAAGCTCACACAAAGCTCCATCTTTTATGATACAGTCTGTAAATATAAAAAATTTAAGGATATGGTCAGGGTTTAGCTGCTGCTTTAGGCCTTTGTTTGACCACTGGATATTTAGTTTAGGAAAACACCTGGAAAGGTTTGGGAAAAAAGAAAATTATAAAAAAACTTGATATTATTCAGTAAAATGTAACTTTTTTTCTTCTTACTCCATGTTTACATACACTACAAACATGGTAAGTAAAGTTCTAGATATAATAAACTAATGGTTTAGCTTTAGGAGATGATTGTTTTTAAGAGTAATAAAATTAATTGAAATTGTATGAGAAAATTTTAGCTTAAGTAATGAGATAACTGGTAAAAAAGATTAAAAACTTAATGAGTATCTGTAAATAGTTGTTTATCATAAACTCCTTTGAGTCTTACCTTCTCCATCTAAACCAGAAGAATAAACCAAGGAATACAACATGTAAAGTGAGTAGTCCAATCTGAAAGGTCCTGTTTAAAAAAATCTCCTCAGGTATGAGGCGCCAGTTGACTGTCCACACATAGAAGAACTGACGTCCCAGGTCAAATGAACGAATAATGTAGCCCAGAGGATTAACCAGCATGAAGGGTAGCGACAGAATCACCTACAATAATAAATAACATGAGTGTAAATGATAACAAACTCAGTATCATTAATGGTTATTCCACTTTGATATTGGTAACAAGCAAATTAGATAAAATCCTACACAACAGTTAACAAACTATATAGATGCTTCAAATGTGCCTTGAGTATAACTTATATTTCATATTGCAAATCTGCCATTTTAAAGTTCATTTTAAAGCTAAATTGATCTGTCTAAAGGGAGTGTGTTTATGTATTACTATAAACGGGGATGGTGGGGTAGAATGATAAAGCATTTGACTGCTCGCACAAAGGTTTCGAGTTCGGATCTCAGCTTGGAGGAGGTCTCTGAGCCCACCCAGCTCTGATGGGTACCTGAATCACATTAGGCAAACAAAGGTGGCTGTGCAGAGTGCTGACCACACCATCCCTTCTTATGCCAATGTCACTGAAACAGATGAAATCTACTTCATCTATCCCCATGTGTCTTGGGCACTAACAGGAAAAACTATGTTAACTATAAACAAGTAGGTACAAAAAGCCAACAATTGTTTGACATTTTGACAATGAACATGGTAAGTCATATGGCAACCTTTGAACAAATATACCAGAAATGGGAATTGTTTTGAACATAAATTTTTTGTAGATGGAAAACAAAAACAAGCAGTTTATAAATTATTTTCTTTGGAACAAATACAACCTAGATGACTAAGTTAGTGAAAAACAAAATGTTCATATAAAAGTAGTAACTGGTGGTATACGATTGAAAAAAAAACTACTTCTCTAAAGCTGGTGACATACTGACCTGTGGTGCAGCACATATAGTTAAATGCCATATGGTCCTTTTGATGCCTTGTGTTACCAGCAGGAGAAACAATAAAGCAGGAGCAAACAGAAGAACATTCATTTTGACTGACACGCCCAAGCTGGAAGACACAAAATTAGAAGATAAATAATCAAACTACTACTGAGTCAGTGTACAGAGTCAATATAGTTCTTAAACACAATGTACATCTTAAAGTAAGGACCCAAACACAGAAACATTTGTAACTTTGATATAAAAAAAACTTAACTACATAACAAACATTAAATTTTACCTGTAAAACAAACATCCCCAAGACCAATGACCTCTAATCATCAAATTAACAGCAGCATATAAAAATAACATAGCAACAGGGTCGTTAAACAGTCGTAGTACATATATTGAGTGGATTCTGTATGATAGTGCACACATGAAGAAAAATGCAAATGGAGGAATCTGGTAAAGAAAAACAAATGATTCAATTGTATGATTGTATTGTTTTAATAAAAATAAAAAAGATTAAATGTGCTTTTTTGCTGTTAATATAAATATAACATTAGATGCAACTCTGCTTTTTCATCAAAATACAACTAGAAAAAAATATTTAAAAGTAAAATATGGAGTGACTTTATAAAGAGACAACAAAGGCTACTTTACATTAATATTAAGTAAATCAAAATGTATTCACCATACTGTGTGGAGTGAGTTAAATACTGAATTTAAAAATAGGGAACTATTACATAGATATTATGGAGTTACCTTTCTTGCTTTTCTGTAGATGTCAAACACAATAATAATGTTGAGCATGTAAATGCCAGCAAAAATATACTGAGCGAGTCTGATGTTGGTACCAAGATTGGTTATGTAATATAATCCCATAAAAATGTAGACAAAGCCAGCTGGGTATCTAAAAAATACAAAAATGCTTTTAAAAATACATGTACTTCAAAATAAAATATTAAAGTATCCAATTTGTCTATATTTGTGTGTTTCACTTATTCAAGGCAAATCAGTCCTTTGTTGTGTTCAAAAGACAAGAGCCCAGTTAACACTTTTTGGGTTCTGAAATCACACCCCACCATGTCTCTGTGTATCCGCTATGAAAGTGGATGATCAGGAATGCTCTATTGTTGTACAGCTGTGACTATGATGTTCTGTTTTTACAATGACTAGTTTCAAAATGGATTAAATAGAATGAATTAAGTAATTTCAAAATAAAGAAACTTACACTAAAGGGCCGGTATCTCCTTTTAGTTGTAAGTAATCATAAGTTCCATTAACAACTCCCTCTACTTCTTGCATATAGGCAACCCAGTCTATTTCAGTGTCTGTAAAGGGAACAACATTTTTTGTCACTTAATATTATAAATGCTACAAAAAGAAGAAAATCAAATGCCTTCAAACCATGGGATTATTTGAAAACTAAAAACTATTTTAAAATGGTTACAACTAAATTTACAAAGCTAGGGTAATCTCTCTGAACAATGGATTTAGGTATGTTAGTAGTAATATATAAGTTTGAGTAATTAGAGTTAAGTTTTTTTTTAATTTGGCATTGGCTTTAGGTTAAAGTTGATGTTTGTGTGCAGATCTAAAAATATATTTATTTAGGCCTAATTTTTTGTTATCAGACACTTTAATTTTTGACTTGATCCACCTTGACCCCCCCCTCCCCGTTGTACTTTTTGAGCCTTAACCTATGTTCAAGTAACTTCAAGTATATTGCCCACACAAAAACATTAAATGCCATTAAATGCATATTTCTATTTTTAAAAATAGGTAGGCCTATAACGCTACAAGAAGGTCTATTCTAAATATTAGGCCTATATAAATAGTTACACAAATAGCCTATCTACTTTTTAGGCCGTATTTTTATTTTTGCATCAAGGGACGTAACCTAGTTTAGTTACTGCTACATTTACAAGTAACAATGTAAAAAATCCGCATTAAAATATTGTTACATTCGTACATTTAATTTTGTTGATGACCAAAAAATTGACTACAATCTCAGCGATCAAAAGCAATAGCATAGCAGGTTTCGGGAACTCGGGATCGAAAACCCATTTCTTTACGTATGTGCGAAATGATTTGGGATCTAACGCGATCTTCTTTATGGAAGTCGCCATTTTTATTCACAGGTTAAGCTGCCAGATCAAACTAAGAAAAATCAGACAAAGAAAAAGCCCTTAGCAAACTACTTTTGCGCGGAGCAAAACGCGTTTGTGCACACAAAAAAAAAACAAAAAAAAAACAACAAACAAACAACAACAAATCACTATTGATTTCACCTATCAATTAAAGTTTAAAAATGTATTTCAATGGTAGATCTAAATCCCATAAAATACGTCGCTATTATGTTAACTTTTTGGAATGGTTAAAATGCGTTTAAAAGGGAAACGTTGGCTGATCAACTGACTGTGAGGTACGAATTTTAGTAGAGTAGTGGAGGCCAAGACTCTAGACCAGGGGTCTCCAAACTACGGCCCGCGGGCCGGATGCGGCCCGCGATGTCCTCTCATCCGGCCCGCGGAGATGTTTTTGTCCACGGAAAAGACGTTAGTTGGTGACGGCTGAGGAACTTTACCCAGAAAAATCAAAGACATACCTGATAGAAACTGGCCCCCGAACTGAAATTTGATAGTCAATGCGGCCCTCGGACTGAAAAGTTTGGAGACCCCTGCTCTAGACCAATCTAAAGTATGAGTCCTCTATTAATAGGCCTGCATGCTCCGATCCTGGGACGTATGGGCGTAGAAGGATCACAATTTATTTCGAAATACACAGTGGTGGGGGGGGGGAATGGTGTGTGGCAGGGGGTGTGAAGCTCTTATGTGTAGGTCCTAGTAAAATATATTGGGCACCCCCCACTCCATGAATTAAAAAAAAATATATTATCTAACTGTTACATCTGTTGAATCTTTTGCTGGACTTATAAATATCTAGATCTAAGTCGTTTTTAAATGGACATAAAATCTTTTACATTTAGAGAGACAAATGGTCATACATGGGGATCTCCAAGATAAACAAAAGATGGACTTCCGGGTTAACTAATAAACATTATCGAATTTTTGAATATTTTTTTTTCATCGTCAAAATGCACTCTTCACTGCGTTAACTATTTTTTCAGTTCAAAAAGCAAATAAATAGAAATGTCTCAATTACATTTCTTCGTGATAATCTCAAGTGTTATTTTAAATTCAGTCATCATTTTTGCTGATTCAGATGCAAAAAAGATGAACCAAAATCCATCAGCAGATCAGCAAATAGAGTTTGAAGAAGATTCTGGTGATTCTGCTACAACTCACCTGGGAAAAATGAAGTATAGGCCTGTCGAAAACCAGCCAAAATGCACTTACTTTTGTAAGTAGATTTAGATCTATTAATAGTACGTGATGTGGCCTAGGCGACAAATATTAAATTAAAAATCATCATTAGTGTGTTAGATTTTTTTGTCGATTAATTTTAACACAATTCACAATAAAGCAATAACACTACAGTCACAGTACACTACCGACTTAATAATACAATAGTATTCTAACTGCTTAATATTTAACTTACTCTAATTACTAGAACAAGTTTGTCAAACTTAAATTAATAAATTACGCTATTTCAACCATGATTATTAATTTTTACCTAATGCATTTTTTAAGTTTAAAAAATATTCATACTGCTTACAGTTACAGTCGACTGGAAATAGGTATTACATTTAAAAATGATGTGATTTAGCAAGACGCCATTTTTTCATTCATTCCAGTAGTCTAGAGTTTTAGTGAAGGGTTATTTCTATTCCTCTGCAGTGTGACAGGTTACTAAGTTCCTACCCTTACAGATCTTATACATCAAGTTATACATTGCATTGGTGTTTATTGTCTTACCTTGATTCAACAGATGACAATAGATCACCACTGTATGAAGGCGGACTTGTCAACTGTTCATGGTACACATCAAAAGCCTGTTGTAAGCGTACTGAAGTGACATCTGTATTTTCTGCAATGGATCCCCTTTATAGTGCATCTGTCTTGTGTAGGAATTACCTTAATTATTTGATGTGTTTCTTCTGCAGTCCCGATCAGTACAAGTTTTATACACCCAACAAGTAGGTTGTTAGCTTGAAAGTATTTCTGTTGTTAGCTTGAGAGTATTTCATTTATGACTGATAGTTTTGTTTACATTGGCACTATATCTATATTAAACAAGATAATTTGTAACTATTACCTTGAGGCAGTTTCCGTAAATGCTTTTACGTTTCTCAAGTGTTGTGACAGAAAATGGGGTGGTGTGTCTGTGATTGTACGTATATCTTTGTTATTATAAAAAGTCTCTTAATTTTTTATGAGCCCAAGTCAACATTAACAATGAGCTGTTTCTGAATACAAAAAATATCCCACAAACTTCTTAAGCTGAATATTGTTTTATGATTTATAGCAATAGTTTGTTTTTCAATAATTCAGAATGACTATTTGTCCTCTAATTAGTTTTATAATAAATACACTCATAACAACAAATTAAATGTTTGATGTGGATATTAGTATTACTTCCATTAGTAATATTTTAAAACTTGTGTAAATATTTTAATTTTTTCATTTAAACAATAGACTTTAATTTCTGCAATTAATTTGCAATTGAAATTGTTTTTTCCCAGAAAAGTAGCTGTTTGCCTTGACTACTGCGATTCTTTATATGATGAATGTAAAACAGCTGGTTTCAACAAAACACTAATTGGTGAGAGCTCAACCAATGCTTCAATATTTCATTTTAACAAGAGACTTATTTAGAAACTTGATTACGTTTTATCTGTAACTGTAACTGTAAGCATAAGATGTGTTAAAATTTGTTATTTACCTTAAGATTTTACATAATACCATATAGGGGCCTACTTAGAATATATAATATTTGAAATAATATATTTAATACTGTTGTTTATATTTAGTAAATACAGGGATTATATTTAATATTTATATTTAATAATTTATTTTAAATTATGGGATATATATATTATTAAATATTATACTTCTTAATAATCAATAGGTGATGAATATGCCAATGGAACAGCCTTTTGTGCAGCTCAAAATTTTGAGGTTCAGGAAGGTGCCGATTGTTTCAAGTTTGACCCCAATGTTTTTGGACACTGCACCAAAATGATAGCTTGGCCTTTGTTAACAGTTTTAACTTTTCAAGTATTTGTAAAAACTCTCATGTAGACACATTTCAAAGAATCTTCCAGCTGTTGAATGCAGTCAAACATTTGGTCATGTAAGGATTAACATTCAGATGACTAATGTGATTTTTGTGTTTTGAGAATTTTAACTGATCTCACTGTTTATACTTTATTTATTATTACAGTAAAATTAAGCTCAGGAGATCAGAGCCCTAGGACACGTATGATAAGCCTGCCAATACTAAGATATTATCCATAAGGGTTATCTATTACTTTTTAAGCTATTTTTAAACATGATCACTGCCATTCAAGTATTTACATATTGTATGCAGGATAGATAAAGTATAGCATTCATTAACAAATAAATGTTATATTTAATATTTAGATTCCCCATGGGCTGCATTCCCTCCCCACCCCCCAACCCAAGTTGACAGTACAGATGAACTTTTAACATTCCTAACAAAAACTGTTAATTAACTTTCCAGGAACTAGAAATAATTCATTTTGAATGGGATTTCTGGCCTATCTTTGGCTTAGATGTAAACACATTTTAAAACACAATCAAAATGCAATTTGAAGAAATCAATTTGAATTTTAATGATTTTGTTTTATTTTGCTACTTGTTGAAGAGAATTTAATGAAAACCTAGTGGATAGAGCTGAAAAGAAAGTTTTTTAAAAGAAAAATGTTAATTACTCAAATAATTGTTTAAGATATTATTAAATAATAGTATTCATTAAAGTTGTATACTGTACAGTTGGGCATAGTCATTTTGTTCATGTGCAATAATTAATTTTATGTTTACCTTTATAAACAATTTGTGATAAGAAAGTAGAGTCTTTATACTTTGTATATAACAATATTTTGTGTAAAAATTGACACTTAGCATGTTTTTGCACCAGCCAATGTGTTCAGCTGTAGCTGCTTTTAATTAAAATGGACAAAGGGAAGTAATATGTTGTTGCTACATTTTAGTCTGTTGAAGTCATGTAAGATATACAAATGTTATTAGTTTACTAAGAATAATTTGAACTTGTCATATGTTCAGTTAATAGAAAAAGTGTATGTGAAATTAACTAGCATTATTTAAAATTAGTTAGATCGATAACTCTTTATGACACCCAAACCACTGCTACTAAAGACACCAAGATGATGGGGTACACATGGAGACCGTTGGAGAGACAAGCCCAGGACAGAGATGCTTGGAAAGCTCTTGTATTTTATAAATCCACTGCTGATCAAAAAAATATTTGGTCCCAAATGCATAGTTTATGATAATTTTTTTTTTTTTACATCTGTGTAAAAGAGTAAAACATACTTTTACATTGTGCATGAAATTTAAATCTATAAGTAAAATTACTTTAGAGTAAGCAAAGTAAATCATGGTGTAAGCAAATTTTGCATACAGAAACATTCTATGTAATAAATTAATAAAACAACAGTATGATTTTTTGATTTTCCATTCAAACTATATTTTACTTTCATTATTATGTAAGTCTTTTCTTCCTACTGTGAGTTATAATAGATTCATATTAGATATGTAAGTATAATATAGATCTAAATGCTAATCAATAGTTTTTCATCTGTTTTAATTTTTTCAGCTTACAAATCTATATTCATTTTAAAATGTGCAATGATTAAATAGACAAATATACTCAACACACCATTCCTTCATATTATGTCATGAGCAATGTTTCCTCTAAAGAGAAAAAGGTAGGGTGCAACGTGTATTTTGTGTGTGCGGTGTTCTAAAAGTCTTATATAAGTATATATGTATTTTACAAAATGACTGAGCTGCAAGGTCATGACTACTGCACGGTCGAGCTATGAAGAAACATAGGTCATGAGCACAGGGATATGAAATTTACTTCATCTGCCCTTTCGAACATAATGTGTCTCAAAATTATTCTATTTAATAAACTCTTTTATTCTTTCAGAGGTTGTCTGTAAACAGCACACTTTTCGTTGGGTTAAGCGTGTGGAATTTTGTGATGATGTGTGAGGGGGGGGGGGGGAGAAAGGAAAGCATGATGACACATTTTGCACTGTAAATGTTTTGTGTTTTTAAAAGGCAGTTAAATCCTAATATTAATTAATTAAATGCTGACTGATCTTAGAATATTTTAGAAAGAAATTTAAATTAAAAAAAAGAAATGGAATTTTGAAAAAAAAAAAGGGGGGGGGGGGAAGATGAAGTGTGAGGCTTAGATGTGACATCATATTAGGCTTTAGGGGTGGGGTCTGGCTTTTTCTAGCAATGAAAAAAGGTGAAGAAAAAAGATTCATCAAAAACATCTATCAGCATTTAAAACTAGTAGGCACGTATTGTAGATTCTAGCAATCTAGCGGGATCAAATAAAAAGCTTTTAATTTAATAGGCCTACTTTATAATTTTTAAAAATGAATTTATTTAGAATTGTTCAATTTAATTTTCTAAAGTTTAGCCAGATTATTCAAGAATCGTATGTGAAAAATAATTACCACAAATGATGCACATTTACTACCTTTTTTAGGCCTAATAATAATATTAATATAATAATTATCACAATGCTGAATGCAAGGTTATACATGTTATGTACATTTTCATTACACAAGCATAAAAACCCCACAAAAAGCCTATTAGCCTATTACTATGATTTTTTTTCGTAAAACCGCTGATTAAAACCATTAAAAAAAAATTAAACTCGCGCTATTGTTCCTAGTTTTTAGATAGTTTTTGTTTACAAAGTTTTACACCCGCTGTATTTTCAATTTTATTTTAGGCAAGCCTACGTCTAGTTCTAGACTCGATCTAGATCTAGATCTAGATTCTAGATTATCTACATTCATAATGCTGATACAATTTATTTTTGTACATTAAAATCGTGTACTAATATGAGTAGAACTGCCAATGGACCTTGCAGATGTGCTCTTGTAGGCTACAGTTTAGTATTGTGTGTATCCCTACTGTCGCGATTTTTTTTACAGTCGGCGGCACGTAGAGAATCTACTTTTTACAGGAGTGTACCTGAGTTGAAACGTAACGATAATCCAGATGATGGAATTAAGATGCCACCCACTCTATCTATTCAACCCGAAGCATTTAATTGTAAGTCTGCAGAAGAATAGTTTTGAAGAATTTTATTATTGTCCAGTCACCAGATGTAGAATCTAGATCTAGATCTAGAATCTAGATTTATGCAATAGTCAGTTAATGCCTTCATATCCCGAGATCACAAACACGGGTAAACTAAAATCTAGATCTAAGAATTAAGTCAGGTTTGAAGGTTAGGACAGGGGATAGTGTCCCTTGGTCATTTAGATGCTACTTGATCTAGTCTTGATCTAGAACAGGGGTCTCCAAACTTTTCAGTCCGAGGGCCGCATTACCCATCAAATTTCAGTTCGGGGGCCAGTTTCTTCCAGGCATGTCTTTGATTTTTCTGGGCAAAGTTCCTCAGCCATCACCAACAGACGATTTTTCCTTGGACAAAAAGATCTCCGCGGGCCGGATGAGAGGACTTCGCGGGCCTGATGCGGCCCGCGGGCCGTAGTTTGGAGACCCCTGATCTAGAATATAAGCAGTGTTTCTTCCAGACTTTTTTCTCTGGGGGGGGGGGGGGCACTTGAAATTTTCGGGGGGGGGGGGGGGGGGCGGTCAACATATATAAAAGTGTATGTTTACTATATAAAATCCATCTCGTTCGGGGGGGGGGCAGTAGACTTTCTTCGGGGGGGGGGGGGGCAGAGCCCCCCTGAAGAGATGCCTTGAAGAAACTCTGTATGTACCCCCCTCCTGCACACCCCCCCCCCCCTTTTTTTGCTACGCCTCTGGTCTGTCTATCTACACTAGCAAAAATATTTGCATGCAATCAAATGCTCATAATTGTCTTTGAAATTAAAATACCATTTTATTATTTTAGTAATTTACTATAGTAGGCCAACTGTTAACTTAAATTTTTAGGTTTTGTTTTGTTACAATTATCATCCTGATTAAAAAACAACAAGAAAAAATATCTACTTAAAATGTTTTGACATTGATTAGGTTATTACAGGGCTGACTGCTTTAGATTGTTGGTTATTGAACCTAATTGCTCCAATGGCTTTTTGACAAAAAGTGATAGAAAATATTCTAAAGTGTCCCTGGTTGTGATGGACTGTGTACAAAAAGCCAAAGAAACAAATAAACGTCAAACTGCTATTTTCTGGATATGGAATTCTGAAAAGAAACTACGCAAAGAGATAACAAGATGCAGGTAGGCTTAAATGGCTTAGTATAAAACAAATTGATATTTTAAATTTAGTGCATGTTACTATTAAAAGAATCTATATAAATAAACAGATATGGAATGTATACTTTGTTTTTACAATTAAACTCCTGTCTTTACTACATGTTTTTAAGTTGATTAAACATGTTTTTATTTCTTTAGATACAAAACAAGATGTTATGTGCCACAATTTGCAGTGAACAGCTTTTCAAACTATCAAAATTGGATTGATGTTATGTTGTTTTCAAACACATCTTTTCTTGGCTTGGTTTCTTTCAAGATGGCTTCAAATGATCCAGATAAGACTTTAGAATATCATGAGCACCGTGTTACAAAGAACAAAACACCAGCTAGAATCTTAAAAACAAGTAGTTTTGATAAAAATGACAGCCCCCTCCTTAGACAGAATGAAGGTATATTGGCATTTAATTTAAGTCAGAAAGTGCAATACAGAAATATGATGAACAATACTGTAAATAGAAACTCCAATTTACTGAAAAAACAAATCTCCTTAACCAGTTTGAGTACATTTTTACTTAAAGTTAATATGTCAAATACAAATGTAATTACTAATGAAGAAAGAAAAAATGACTCAAAGTTAAGTAACTTGTTTGCTGAAAATAAAAATAAATCTTTAAATCATCTAAATAAAACAGTACTGTTTGAGAAAAAATACAAAATATTAAATAACAGCAAACACCCTTTAAGTCATAGGAAATATAAAAACCAAGAAAAGTTGTTTAAAAGAAAGTTCTCAATACATTCTAAAAACTGGAAAAGTGTACAGCATCTGAACAAGCTTGCACTTGGCCTGTTTGATAACACCAGAAAACAAACTGACATAAACAAAAAAATTTCACGAAAAAAGCGCAGAGCTAGCGTTGATGAAGCAAATGATTTAGCAATACTCATGCAAGATGAAAGCCCTTACGACAAAGAAAAAATCACAGAAATGGTGGCTGAAGACTTTGTGAACACTGAAGGTATGGAGAACCCTTTGGTTTCTCCTGTTGGTTCTTCCTTTCCTGGGAGGAGACATTCTAACCCAAACATCTTGGGCAACTCCTTTGACTTTGAAGCAGTGGTTAAAGAAATAAAAGGGGTGAAGGACAATGAAGAAAATTCTAGACTGGACGGTGCAGTTGTACTGCGAGGAGATCCTAGTGCGTCTGCTGATATGAAAGCGGTAAGCAATGATTTAAATTAAGAAACTAACAATTCTGTGCTGTAATTTTTTTAGTTAAAGTAAAGATAAAAGTACTGAGAAGCTGAAGTTTGCTTAAGTTCAGAGTTCAAACCTTGGGTAGATGAGGCTCGTTAACTGGGGAAAGCAATCCATCTAGGAGAGAAAACTCCAGAATCAAGCTGCCTTGTATATTTTGTTCTTGGGTGGACAAAGGCTGTGGAAGCAAATCCAGAAAGTCAACATGTTGACATGTAATACTTAATTATGGTGTAGGAAATCCCATCAACATTACAATTAAGAATGAAGAAGCAGAAGAAAGTTCATAAAAATAACAATTAGCTTTTAAAAATGTGTTCAGAATTTTAAAAATATTTCAAAATAAATTTATAGCTCTTCATAATATGGCTATTGGTGGCTAAAATATTAATTATCTTATTAAGCATCAATATTAGCTTAAAGAAAAATTAATGCTTGGATATAAAATTTGAGTCTAATTTTGTGTTTCAGAATGCAGATGATTTTCATCTACGAAGACTGAAAGGTGATATAACTAAAAAGGAGAAACAACTAGCTGTGGCAGAAGCAGAGCTTAGACATGCAGAGGGTGAATATGCTGCTAACACTAATGATAAGCCAGTTGTAGCTGAAACCTTAGCAAAACGTAAAGTCGATGCAGAGGATACTGTTAAGAAACTCTCAGAACATTTGCACAAGTTGAAGGATGAATACAAGCAGTATAAGCAAACAGCAGAATGTAAGTCATTTAGTGTTTAAAAATGGCTTCATTAAAAACTACTTAAACTGTGAATTAATTTTTAAAAAAAAGTATTACAAAGACTAAGTCTATTTTAATAAAATAATCTATTTATTTTGATTGTCTCATCTTTCAAGATTTTTGCCTAGTGTTGCAACTAAGCCACTGATATAATAAATTATTGACTCGATATTTCTTTCATTCTTTTAGCAGGGCCAAAGGGTACAAAGAGAAAACTACATGGACTAGTTGTGATTGATGTAAGTATTTGTTGTATCTTGCATTTGTAAATTCTTTATGTTGCTTTTGTAAAGAGGCATGTATTCATCATACCAGTTTTTTAAAAACAATTGTTGTATAAGAAAAGATATCAACATTATTTTTAGAACCTTTGTCAAACAATTTGGTGCTAGTCAACATACACAGTAATAAAATTTTTAAAATTTTAGCCCATGTGGGGTGACTGGTCACCATGGAGCAAATGTTCAGCTGATTGTGGGGATGGGGGATTTAGTGTGAGGAGACGTGACTGCGACACCCTCCCTGATGTGCCATGTGAGGGCATCAACTTTGATATGAGACCTTGCAATGCTGGACTCAAGTGTGAAGGTAAATTACATTCTTTTTTGTTTTTTAGTTTAGCCTAAATGTAACATCCATGTTTGTTCTGTGGTGCTTAAGGTAGCAAGCATTAGTTTGTTCATTAGTGGGAATGTACCTTTGAAGGTAACTTCCATTTTTCTAACGTTAGTAAGAAGGTAGCTTTAATTTTTTTATCATAAGTAGGAAGCTAGCATCCATTTTTTAAAACGTTAGTAGGAAGTAACTTCCATTTTCAAAGCATTGTTTGAAAGGTAGACCTGCTTCCATTCTGGCTCTTTAGTTTGCAGCATTTCATACCTATCTACAGGTAGTTTCCATATTTTTTGTCTAGTGAGGTGTTAGCTTCTGTGTTGTGGTACATCACATTTTTAATACAAAATTTTATTGTACTAACTACTGGTATTTATTTATATCTACTTGCATAAATATTACATAATTCTCATTAATTTTTAGAGACCATCCAGTCATAAACAGGTACAATTTTCCACAGCACAATGGCAGGACTGGGGCAACTGGGGTCCGTGCTCAGTGTCCTGTGGTAAAGGTGTGAGAGCACGCAGTCGTGTCTGCATGTCTGGTGACAAGGATGTGTCCTGTGCTGGAGAGTCATCTAAGCTGGAAAAATGTGAAATCCCTATCTGTGAGGCAAGTTCCTTTGTGTTGCCGTCTGCTTTTAAAATCCAGACAACTAAAAAATTTTACTTTAGTTCAGTGTATCAACACGATTTCCCAAAGTAGATTTTTTTATATTGTAACAAAACAAGACAAAATCTGAATAAAACAATTGTTTCTGTTGTTTGAAGTGAAACAAAATTTAAAAATGTTGTCATTGCTTTATGATAAAATATATATTGCACTCACCGCATGATAATAATATATACACTTAAATAGGTTTACTAAAAAAACAACCTAAAAACACCCAAAAATTGATTTAGGTCATTGTAAGTGATTCAACTGTGATACGTGTAAATTGTTAAGCCAGCCTTATATCTGACTGCTTGGGCTTTTCCTGAGGGTAGAATGTGCATACTCTATCACTCTACTCCCAAGTCTCAATTATTTTTTCTAAGCTTTTTACAAAAATAGTAGATGTCACTAACTGTAATGCTTTTATTCTAAGGGTCCCGTGGAAGTTATAGCTGTCAATCCAAAGGATGCTGTGGGAGACAGCCAGTTCGTTGCTTCACCAAGTGGGGACAATGTCTTTCTACTGGGTGCAGGTGCAGGGGTGGATGCAGGGAGTGCCAGAAGTTTTCACGGCATCCCCAAAGCCCCATCTGTTATTGCTAGCCCACGGAGTAAGTTTTAAAGACATATATCATTGTATTAAACACAATTATACTGTAAAGTACCCTTTCGAAGGTATTGATCCATTGGGTAGGTGAAGTAGAGTTCACCTGATTCAGTGACTGGCATATGGAGGGATAATGGTCTGCACTATGCCCAGCCGAATGTACTTTACCTAGCCTGAGTCAAGGAACCCATCATGGCTGGGTGGACTCAGGGACATTCTACTGTCAATCACCCGAGACTCAAACTCGAGACTTTTGGGTTTGCATTCGTTTGCTCTACCATCCTACCTCACCGTCATACCAATTATACCCTAGCCTGAGAAAATCTATAATAAACAAAATAATAATTTAAAAAATAATGAATTACAACACATTTTCTTGTAATGTATAATTATCTACCTGTCTCAGGTGAAAAGGCTACTCTCTTACAACCTTATGCTTGGAGTATCTGGGGCCAGTGGTCCACATGTTCTAAAAACTGTGGTGAAGGGCAAGAAATGCGAGTGCGAGCTTGTTTGGATGAATCAAAGACATCCCCCATCCGTGTCAAAGTAAAACACTGTACGGGTGGTGTTGACTCCCAGACCAGGGCTTGTATGGGCCAGTGTAATAATATGCCATATGAAGGTAGGTTAGTGGAGGGACAATGTTGATCTAAAACTTTAAGTAGGACTTCTTTAAAAAAAACATATTTTATTAGTATCTGACAGTGTAATAAATTCATTTTTAAGGGGGATATTTTTGGGTAAGATAATGAAGTAAGGTTTATGAAGATAAGATAGTGGTAACTTTTTATCTATGTGTAACTAAAACTATTATTAAATTTTGAAAGGATAGTTTTGTTCTTTTTTTTAAAAAACAATTATACATTTAAACTGACTTAGGTAAACAATTAACCTTCCAGCTGCAGCATCAGGGGCTGTTATAAATGAATATGATGAGTTGCGTGATGGAGCTGTTGTCATAGAGAGAGATAAATCTGTTGGACCTAAAGTTGTAGCTAATCAACCTGAGGCTGATGGTAAATGCTTTTCATTTCATAATGTTAAAAATAAATTTGTCACAGAATGTTTTATGTATTATGTCATGTGTGAAATTTTGAACAGTTACCTTTCTTAACTAACATTAAGTTTTAATTTTAAAAAATCAACTTAAGACTGAACAATGAAAAATAGCGATAGAGTATGATAAACATGCTATTGGGTACTATGAAACAACTACAACCAAAATCTCAGAACAGACAACATTTTATGCTTTTGTGTGATATCCTCTTTACTTTAAATTACTGAATGAAACAGAAAGTTAGAGTGCTGTTTAATATGTAGGCTATACTGTAAAACTTAAACTGAAATTAAAAATAAAATATTTGCTTGATTTTACACAGTGGATGATCTCCCTTCCAATAGTGTTATTCTTGAAACAGATAAAGGTCCAGTAGTGGTTCAGGCAGGTCTGTATTTCTTACAATAGCAATTAAAAGACTTTAACATTGATAAAATGTTACTGTGTGCTCTACTTTCTAGCTCTCTGTACAAAGCTTGTAACAATTGTATAATACTGCTGTTTACTTTTAGCTTTGTCTGACTTGGATAAGTGAGGTTCCGCAAAATTTTACAGAAACACCTCACACTTCCCAAACCCCTGCAATGGGATCTTGAAATTTTGTGATTAAATAAGTGAACCATCAATATTGCAAAAAAAATTCATTTCAATTTTTTTAAAAACAGCATGAAGCAACAAATAATTTATTTTTCAATTTCTTGAACAGAGAATTCAGAGTTGTCCACAGAGACCATCGTCTTCATTGTCCTTCTAGTGCTCTGTGTGCTTCTGATTATTGTTGCATTCTGCATTTGGTTCTACTCCAGGTAAAAAAAATTACTTGAAAGCACCAACTCATGGCCAACAATAAATGTATTCTCTTATTAGCACAAGTAGTATAGAATTACACTGTTGATATTGGTATATACGGTTACCATTTTGGACTGACTATAGGGCAGATAAAGTAGAGCTCATGTGTTTTTGTGACCTCAGCATATGAATGGATAGTGTGGTCAGTTCTATTCCCATCCATATTTCACTTTCCCTAATATAAGTTAGGTATCAATTAGAGCTGAGTAAACTCAGTGATGTCTCACTGACTTGAGCCCTAGATCTGAACTGAAGACTTTTGGGCTAGCAGTCGGGCACTCTTCCACTAAACAACCCTGTCCCACTGTAAATGCTGTACTGTAACAACTTATTTTTTTAAAGTACAAATTAATACTGTACTGTAACAACTTATTTTTGTACAAAAGTACAAATTAATACTGTACTGTAACAAAAATAAGCTGACAAACATAGGCGCAGACATTTTAATACATAGTGTATATCTTTTTTACACTTATCATTAAATGGCACAAAAATCAACAGGGTAATTGATTCTTCTCCAATCACTATCCCATTTTAAAAACTAATTATTTGTTTTTAAAATTCTTTATTAAAATTGTAAAAAAAAATACAATTGTTTTTAATCAAACTGCTACATTTGGTATTCTAATAGGATTGAAGACTCCCGTTTAAACAAAAAACTGGCGTCCACACAACCATTTTACAAAGAAGATCACGATGACCACGGCAATGATGCTAAAGGACCGGTTTATGGTTATATTAAACCTGTCATCAAAGGTGACGGCGGAAACCCTGTTCCAGGTAAGACACATTTTAAATAATTAGATTCAAAGAGAAAGACTTCTCAATTTGTATTTAAGACATATAGATTACACTTAAAATGTGCAGTTTATGTTTACTCCTTTTTTATAATTTTTATAATTATATCATTTATAAAACATTATGTTGATTGGAAAGGTTTTAAAGTCAAAACTATAATGGATTATTGGCCAATACTGCACATTTCATGGTAATCTTTATGTCTGCAGAAACACAATTGGGAGATCACTCCGGCGAGTTAACTAAACTGAAGTCTAAGATTAACAAACTTAGAGTTAGGGGCCATGATGAGCAGGCAGCCAGAGAGCAAGGGAGGTTAAAGAGAATGCAGAAAAGGATAAGGTCTTAGCTAACAATCAGGTCTGCAATTTTCATTCAAATACTTTATTCTTGTTATTAATGCAATCAGGTGAGTTGTTTTTTCCAATACATTTGATGGGAGATTTAACAAGGTAGTTAGGCTTTGACCAGACTTTGGAGCTCAAACTAAATCAGCTCAAATTAATTTAAAATATAATAATTGATCATCATTCTGTGGCTGGCAAGTTGATTATGCCCGTATTAGAGAGATAGAGCTGTTACGTATTACTCAACCTTTCATCATCATTATCATCATCATTCCTTCGTGGCCCCTGGGGAGCAAAGGGATGCAACCACACATTTCCAGCGGACTCGATTTTGGGCTGTTCCCTTAATCTGTGCCCATGTGAGCCCAGCTGTTTTCGCCTCTTCCTCAACCTTTAGTGTTTAACATTTCTCACATGTACTCATAAGGTTTAACATTTCTAACATGTACTCATAATGTTCAACATTTCTCACCTGTACTCATAGTGTTTATCATCCTCACCTGTACTCATAGTGTTTAACATTTCTCACATGAACTGACACATTTCTCACCTGTAATCCAGGTAAGCCTCGAGACAAGCCTGCCCCTGACAAAAAGGAAGGGAAGAAAAAAGATAAAAAAAAGGGTAAAGATAAATCAGCCACTCTTGAAGAAGCTGGTGCTTCTCCTGATGTGGTGGATGAAGAAATTATGACAAACACAGAGGAGACGAATGAATCTAAAGATGATGAAGATAATAAAGATCAATTACCTGTCATAGATGAATCAGAAGAACCTAATTCCAACCAATCTAAAATGACGACTCGTTCACATAATGTTAGCCCCAAAATGACAACTCGTTCACATCATGTTAGCCCCAAAATGACAACTCGTTCACATAATGTTAGCCCCAAAATGACAACTTGTTCACATCATGTTAGCCCCAAAATGACAACTCGTTCACATAATGTTAGCCCCAAACCAAAACTTAAAGACCAGCAGGTCAAGAAAAAGTATCCTACAAAGAAAATGTCCAAAATATCTACATCAAGTTCCTCACAATCTGAGTCTAGCTCAAGCAGTTCAGACGACTCAACAACACAAAGGAAAGACTACTCCGAGAACAAATCTTCTCCCGATTCAACAAAACACAAACAAGCTGTAGAGAGGGAAAAAAAGGCAGGCACTATAGACAAAAGTCCTAAAAAAAGTCCAGAGACTCAAGTTTCCTATAAAAACATTAAAAACAAAAAAAGAAAAGTTTCAACCATGTCTGGATCTTTAAGCAGCTCAGAGATGAAGCATGAAGAAGTTGTTCATCATTCGAAAAGGTCAAAGACTGACGTTTCAACTACAAGACACGAAACAAAAAAGTCTTCCCATCGTGAGCCACATAAAAGCGTGACCAAAGATAAATACAAATCCCAAACTAAAATGCCCGATCCACTTCATGAAGAAACCAAACGTAAGCCAAACATTGCTGTGGAAGAAAATAAATCTAAAAAAATAAATTCACATAATCTCAAAAATGCTGACAAACATACCCATGAGCCTGTGGGGGACGTGGAAGAAAGTTTTCCAGGCGCCTATGCTAATAAAATGGACACCTCGCACCCCCGTGAGTCTTCCTCTGAGTACTGGATGCCAGGAGATTACTTCCGTGTCAGAAAAATTGTTTCAGACCTTGATACCTCTCAGCGTTCACCTCACAAAATAGGGGCCAAATTCAATGTTTTAAAGAGCCCGTCAGCGTATAATAGAAAAAATGCTATCTTATTATCTCCCATACCTTCAGTGATTCCCGGAGCGCAGACCCCTCAGAATTGTTGGATGATTGTCGGACACAAGTCTGAAAAATCCAGCTCTCAGGGGCAGCCTGGAAGGTCACTCAAACATGCACCAGGTCACTCTGAAAGGTCACTGACAGTTCAGCAAGCAAAAGGTGAAGCAGAACAGACTGAAAATGATCAGCAGACAGAGTGTAATCTAATGAAATCACCTGAGGATCATTCAGTGGGTGGAACACATATTGAAGAACTGGGAAGCCAAAATGTGGAGGATAAAATAAAAACAAAAACCTCTTCCAAATCAACAAGGCTGTCCACCCTCGTGTCACAAAAACTGAATCAAATTGAGAAAGAAATACAAACTGTGCTGCGGAATGAGAGTCAGCTGTCAGACAAGCTTGAGACATCCTTGCAGCTGATTAACATGGAGGCTGAAGGTGTCTCAAGCTCCCCCAGCCAACCAACAGATGAGGCACAACAAGACACTCCGCTGGATGCCGACAGCTCACAACTAGACCAAGATGATATCATAGAAGGCAATGAACAGAGGGGGGAGAGAAAACAAGCACCGGCGCCAGAGAAATCTGAAGTGGAAACTGTCAAAACGGATGAGGATTTGGTTCCAGAAATGCAGAAAAAAGAACCGGCTGATACGGCTTATGAAGAGAAGAAGAAGGCGGTGTTAAAACTGCTGCAGTATGTTGCTCCTAGTCCAGTAGAGGAGAGGCAGTCAGGGTCAGACTCCACCCACCTGCCTAGCCAGTCAATGAAAACATCCACCAGTACCAAGGTCTCTTCCAGTCAGCCTGAGAGAACCAACTCCACACCAGCCGGCGTCCATTCTGTCGCTGCACAAACCAATGCTGACAACACCACGTTTGGAGCCTTGGACCGTCTCTGGGAGTCTGAGAAAAATAAAATGTTGTGTCCAATGTCTCGAGACACTTCCACCTGGAGCACTGGCCAGCCGGAGATGGTCCAAGCTCAAAGTGAGGCTGACACACTTTCCTCCCATTCAAGTAGTCAGGCAAGAGGGATAAATTCACTTGATGAACGGGATACTGACAAAATGATTTTTACTTCTAAAGACAAGAGTTCAGCAAAACCTAAAAGAGACAGCTCTGTAGAAAAGACTGGTAAAGACATGACTGAAATAAAATCTGCCAGAGTTGAGAGTACACAGGGAGTGAAAGTCAGTGAAACTGGAACTCTGGGTACCTCACGTCTACAACATGAAGGCACCAGCTCAACTCTGGCCGATGAGGATGGGAAACTCAAACAGCGCAGGCAAGACACAGCCTCGTCACAGCATCCCTTACAGACTGAGCAGAGTACACTGGTGAAGGATGCAACCGACCTGGTGAAACAGTCTCTGACTGAGATCTTTGACAAGCAGTTGAAGAGATTCCTTGACACCACCACGTTAGATCCTAGCAGGATTCAGATCAACTGGAGCCTGGCTGGGGAGAAAAAAGCTCTGCCACCTACGGCTGCACAGGGTCAGAGGTTACCTAGCAAACTAGTGACATGTCCTCAACATTCACTCTCAAGAACTGTTGCCTCTAAAGGCCTTAAACCAGCCACGAAGGCCCACATCCAAATTAGGAGTTCTCATCCTGCAGTACAGAGTCATTTAGTATCAAAAGCAATTCAGTGCCATGTCTCTCATTCAGTTACGCCTGCCGTAATTGGAACCCAAAAAACTGAAACAGACACTAATAAAATTGATTCAACAAGACCTCCAAAACCTGACAATGACATTAAAAGACCTCCAAAAACTGACACTGACATCAAAAGACTTCCAAAAACTGATACAGACACCAAAAGACTTACAAAACTTGACACTGTGTTTAAAAGACTCCCAAAATCTGACACTGACATCAAAAGACTTCCAAAACCAGAGACTGACTTCAAAAAACCTCCACAATCTGAGACTGACTTCAAAAGTCTTCTAAAATCTGACACTGACACCAAAAGACATCCAAAACCTGACACTGACACCAAAAGACCTCCAAAACCTGACAATGACACCAAAAGACTTCCAAAACTTGACACTGACATTAAAAGACCTCCAAAACCTGACAATGACACCAAAAGACCTCCAAAACCTGACAATGACACCAAAAGACCTCCAAAACCTGACAATGACACCAAAAGACTTCCAAAACTTGACACTGACATTAAAATACCTCCAAAACCTGACAATGACACCAAAAGACTTCCAAAACTTGACATTGTGTTTAAAAGACTCCCAAAATCTGACACTGACATCAAAAGACTTCCAGACACTAAACACTCAGATACCAAACTACCTGTAAACAAAGATTATATTCAATGTAAAGTTCGGATCATCAACTTAAGCCATCAAACTTCAGCTAAGGCTTCACCTGACCAACAAGCTGTTGACGATTCCTTCCAAACAGCAAAAGAAGACATATCAACTCCAGATTCTAAATCTTCTTGGATGTCTGCCCAAGGTGAAGAAAGAGTTGCAAAGCATTCACCTCAGTCAATCACCAGCTCTTTCCATAGCCTTAAGACTGAAACTCTTTCCTTATGGGCGAGTGAAATTGAGAGTCAGAACTATTTTGATGCTGTGTCAGAAAAGAAGATTATGGAATCCCACCAGTCCCCAGATCCTCACTCAAAAGAGGTGCATGACGAGGACTTCGAAAGTTTTAAATCTGCTCACTTAGATCTTCTTGAAGATGAAATGAAAACCCCCTACACTAATTACCAGGCAAGCACAGAAGTTAGCTTTCAAGATGTTGAAGACCATAAAGAAGTAAAACACTTGACAATTTGTGCTCAAGGCGACAGCAACGTGGAGCGTGGTACAAAAACTGTGGAAGCTGGTAGACATAGTGTAAGTATAGCTGATGAAAAAATCTCAGAGTTACCAACAGATTATATGTCTGTCATTGAAAAACCTCAGCTAGAAGAACTAACAGCTTTTAAATCCTTGGCTGAACCAAACAAACAAGAGCCTGTGGATACTAGGGGTCAGTACCATTCAAAGATGAGGAAAAGAGACAAAACTATTCCCAGGATTGTCCAGAACAAGAGTCAAGAATTAGAGGAAGACACTTTTTATGAGATCTCCAGTTTTGAAAGTTGTTTGGCCGCAACAGAAAAAAGTCTAACAGGTGACAGAGGTAAAACAACAGAGCAATGTCATCAGGCAGCAGCTGATAAACATTGTAACAAGAGTTCAAATAAAGCCTGCCAGGAATTGGGGGCTTCAATATCCACCATGTACAGAGACTGTGACAAGGACTCGGATGCCAACATGTGGCTCAGCACAAGCTTTTACAATAGAACACAGTCAGAGGATGGCTTTGACTCGAAAATGTTTTCATCTGACCTATCTTCAGATTTTATAGAAAGCCTTTATGTTGACGACACCAATGCCTCATCAGATATTTCTTTGGAGCCCCCAGAGAAAACAGCCATTGTACATCTGTTTTGTGATGGGCCAGCACAAATCACCCCAAGCTATTTGGATGTTTTGTCTTTTCTTAGCAAGGAATCAGAAGCTTCCCCTGGTAGATCCGAACCACTGTCCTCAATGAGAAAAGAGCAAATAAACAGCCTTGAAAAGTCATACAAAGTAGTCCAGAACCAACTCGATGTGAGCGCAAACAGAGATGCTGACGCTCCAAGCCAATCTAAATTCCTTTCCCATCTGAGATTCTCCCCTGCCTCCTCACCATCCAGCCCAGCAGAGAGGAGTTTACCAAAGGCAAGACGTGTTTCACACACTAGCAGCAGTAAAGTCGTAAGTTCCTCCCATTCTCAAGCAGAGCAGGCCAAGTTAAAGGCTGGGAACCTAAAGCCTAGCTCAGACTTTCTCAAGCAGTTCAAGTTCAGCCCAGTACAAACACCGGTGTCTACAAAGTTGTCTGCTCTTCCTTTTTATCTTCGATGTGGCAAGAAACATCCAGGTAAAGGATCTCAACTGCCCGGCCATTTTGGACAGTTTTCTCCAGACTCTCCTAATGCATCACCTCAATTTCATGATTCTGTGTCCGCCCAATTTCAAAGTTCTCCTTCAACCCAATTTCAAAGTTCTCCTTCAACTCAATTTCAAAGTTCTCAATTGCCCCAATTTCAAAGTTCTCAATTGCCCCAATTTCAAAGTTCTCAATCCACCCAATTTCAAAGTTCTCAATCCACCCAATTTCAAAGTTCTCCTTCAACTCAATTTCAAAGTTCTCAATCCCCCCAATTTCAAAGTTCTCAATCCTCCCAATTTCAACGTTCTCCTTCAACCCAACAATTTCAAAGTTCTCAATCCCCCCAATTTCAAAGTTCTCTTTCCCCCCAATTTCAAAATTCTCAATCGCCTCAATTTCAAAATTCTGCATCCCCCCAATTTCAAAGTTCTGCATCCCCCCAATTTCAAACTTCTCAATCGCCCCAGTTTCAAACTTCTCAATCCCCCCAATTTCAAGAACATTTGTTACCTCAATTAAAAAATTCTGCATGGCCCCAATTTCAAAGTTCTATGTCCCCACAATTTGAAAAGATTGCGTCACCTCGGAAGAAAACATTTAAAACTTCACAACCTCCCAGGCCTAAACCACCCAACAAAACCAACAAGCAAGGTGCTGGTGTCTCCCTAGACAGACCAGCCAGGCCTATCCAGAAACAAACTTCAAATGAAGCGGCTCAAATGCCCAGTACTTTCAGACAGTTTTCTCCAGTTTCAGCTTGTGCTTCCCCACAAAAGTCAGCATCACCTCAGAAAAATTCTGTCAAATATTCACATCTAACCAAATTTCCCAATCATCACCCAGTCAATAGAACTGCCCTGTATGAAAGCTCCACAGAGGAAGGTGCAATAAAAACCTTCAGAAAATTGGCTTATAATGGAAGGTATAAACCACATGAAGAGCTTCAAAAAAGCTGTGACAACACTTTGTCAGATGTTGTCTCCTCTGTTTTTGATCACCACCCACCAGAGCTTTTGGACTTTGTATCAGATGAGACTCACAATGTAAAGCCTATTGAGCACAGGGGTACACCACCCACACATGAAGTGAGGCCTGTTCCCCAACAGAGTCTGATGAAACCAAGCACAGCAGAGGCAATGCTTGAATGTGATGCTGGGACCTCCAATAGAAATTTGGAGAAAAGGCAACACGGAGATTCAAATAGGTCACAAAATAAATCCCCTGGGATAGCATCACCTCAAGATAAACCTTTAAAACAATCACAGGAAGTAAAGTGTAGTGGTCAGGATATTGCTGCTTATTGTTTGACACCTTTGGTAAACAAAACCAGCCAGGCAGGACAGGTATTTAATTTGATGCCTGAAGAAAGAGAACCCAAAGTTTCCTGTCTGAGAAATAGTACCATGGAAAGAAGTGATGCTACGAGCACTTTTGAGCGCTCTTTGTTTGCATGTGGCCAGTTTACCCCAAGACAAAGTACATTCTTCCAGTCCATCCTGGCACCTTCCCCAGCTTCAAGCTGTAATCAGAGTTTTGACTGTGTGGACACCACCAACAATGATGAGCCCAGTGACCAAGAGAGTTATGCCCCTGGTAAATCTGCCAAAGGTGTTTGTATCAATGAAACAACTTCTGAATCCTCATCTTACCAGACTGATAGGTATGCCAATGTTAGTATTGGAGATTTTGAGATCAGCATCCATGAAGATGACCCAGAATTAATATCTTATAACACAGAGTCTCCCAACTATGGTCAACCTTCAAGACAAAAAGATTTGGGGAGTCAAGAGGTTTTAAAACCTTTTGACAGAAGAGCTTTATTTAATGGGAGAGAACTCAATGAGGAAACCACAACATCTGGACTACACCTCCCTGACAACTCGGATTTGACAGCGAGCTGTGTTTACATGGATGGCATGAATTCCTCAACCCAGCTGACTAGCCAGGTAACAGTTGGTGACAAAAACCAAAGCTTTGACAAGCACATGGCAAGTAGAAATAAACCACAGAACAACTTGGATGTTGGTTGTAAAAGTGAAACATGCATAACTTCCCGTCAACACGCATCCAATACACATCCAGTTTATAGTAAATCTTTCATAGGAGCTTCGTATTCCAGTTCTACTCCTCAAGATTTCTCAGCATCCTTTCTGCAAAGTACATCAAGTAAGTCAGGGTGTGAGATTACCACTGACCAGTCGGACAGATCAAACAGTTTTAGTAAACAGGTTGAAGTATTGGACCTTACCATGTCCTCAGATGAAATGAACTTTGACCTGATCAACAAGTCATGTGCCGTTGTGGTTGGTGGAAACCTCCAACTCCCATCCAGTAGCTCACAGTCTCTGGGCTACATAATGAGTGCTGATACAGGGGATATAACTGAGAGCTCGGATGATTGATTTAAAAACTTTGGTGTCAGTCTTGTAAGAATGTGCGTGTTGCAGTTATGACTAGGTATTAACCACCACAGCCTATTTCATGAGTGCTGATATTGAGAACAAGAACAGTTTTGAAAAAAATCTGGGGTTAGCTTTGTAAATGATCAGGTTGGAAGAATGTTTCAGCCATGACTAGGTTCCAACACTCCAGTGGTTTTTAAAAATGCTGCCTATAATTTCTTTGCCCAACCAATCTAGCAAGGGAGAAGGTCTGGACTACTGAACACATAGATTTGTAGAAGTGTCAACAGCAACTAATTTTTTTTTCTCTGAAAGTTAAATGCTAATATTTGTCATTACAAAAATAGTGGGCTTCCCTCAGTGCATTAGATAAATAAACCCTCGTGATGATTCTCCTCACAGCTTTCTTTTACTGAACAAATTAGATTACAAGGACAAAAATATCTAGCTTTTTTTCTATTAGATGTACATTTTATACATTTATATGTGATAATTTTGTATTTATTTTTTATTTCTAATATAAATGATTTATGAATATTCCAAGTCTTGGCTTACTAAATTTGTTTTGTATACTTCTGTCAAACGAGATACAGTTTCATAGTAACATGCTTTTAAGATGGATGGTAAAACTTGTCAGAAAGTAATAACCCATGTGTTTGGTCACAGAATCTTGGCTAGTTTAAGTAGTCTGTTTGCTTGATGCCTTTCCAGACATTGCATCTGACGCAACAGGAAATTTTAAAGACTACAAATCTTAAATTATGAACACAATTAATGAAAAATTGATTTGAACAAGTTTATTTCTTATAAATGTACTAGTAAGAGAAAATAGCAAATACATAAGATTAAAAGAAAAAGCTTTTTGACTATACCTAAATTTTATAAAGAGTTCCTACACCCAAACCTGTTAAAATTAGCACTCAAGGGAAGGTTAAATTACTAGCTAATGTCATGGATTATTTAAATAGGAATGTCAGTATTTTGCTTTTTTTAAAACAGTTTTATGATAGGGATTAATGATATTTGACATGTAACTAATCCCTGAAGTCAGCACAATACATCTGCATAAAGCCATTCACCTCAAGAATTCCTGGTCCCAGTCTTATGAAGCCAGAAAATGAGGGGGGGGGGGGGGGGGGGAGGTATATTACAACAGTTGTTTGAAAAGATGAAAGTTGGGGGGGGGGGGGGGGGAATCTAGTCTACATAAAGTCAAAAGCACCACCAGAGTGAGCATATATGGACATAAAAACCAACACAATTTCTCCGTTTGGAGAAATGTTCTTTATAATATAAATACAATTTTCTTGGTAAACCATACACCGCACAAATAAATTTAAAAGTGATACAATTTACTTTTTGAAAAAAATTCTAACCCTGAAAATGTCACTGAACTACAAACCAGCTGTTTAACTTTCATAAAGATTCAACATGCATGAATTTATCTTATTCCATTTACTTGTGCATTACCATTAGTTGAATTGTTTTTAACTTAGGATTTGTAACACAGAAATTTATAAATCTGAAATCTGTGCACATTCAGATTATGATTAAGTGTAAGCTAATGAAAATGAAAAGCAAGAATAGAAAATAGATCAGTTAGAATTTGTTATTCACTGGGTCATACATGTACTGTCAGTGGCAATTTAGGGGAGATAAAAAACATGGGAGAGAAACCACACAGCTAATTTGATATGTAATATTGCTACAAAAAAATGTATGAAAAATATTCAATGCCATTTTGTTGCTTTAAAAAATCACATGCTGAACGAATGCTTTTCTTACAACGGTTATATGAAACATTTATAGCAATTTTATTTTACAACTACACTTAAATTTTAAATAAATACACATGTATATGTCAACAGTTCTGAGCCTTTATATATATGAATTATATCAAATTATACTAACATCAAAAAATTATTATCTGAACAGGTTTTTAATAGAAAAACAAAAATAGATGCGTTTTCTGGTTATGGTTTTAATGATAGAATCATTCAAATGTTTAAGAATAAGTTTTTTTTTTTGGGCATATCAAATATCTGATTAAACAGCTACCATTACATAAGTTTATAAAGTTGTAGAAAAAAATTCCTTCTTAACATCAATCCCCTGTAATAAAAATAAATCTATTTTGATTTTTTCATTAATTATCAGTTAACTTATTTGTTGGTATTACAACAACAGAAAAATCATTAACATTAGACACATACAAGAATGAAGTTAATTACAATAAGCTTGTCTTATTTGTGCATCGCCTTAAATGCAAGAACAGTTTACCAGTATTTCTCATAGTACAAATTAGACTATAAGAACTAAATTGCATTTGAATCTTGACATTATCTAAAAAGAGAGTAGAAATACATTATCATAGCAGAGAATTTTGTAATAAAACTGACTAATGATAACCATTTAGAACGCTTTTTGTTCAACATTTGGCAAGAAAAATTTGGAAGACGTGTGGAAAGATGTGTGATCTTAAAAAAGGTTTCCAAAATATCAAGATAGTGACACATAGATTTTTTTTACCACAATTTGGTGAACTAAAAAGCAAGGACACAACTTAAGGAAGACTAACTAATTTTGGCAGTCTTGTGAAAAATGCAATACCTAAAAATAACTTACTTTGGTCTTGTAGCTTGTAACAAAAGCTACTTTAATAATTTTTAAACAAAACTAACTTATTACAAGTTTCAAATTGTTAAGTGTAAAAGATTTTAGAAACTACTACAAATTTAATTTTTAAAATATATGAATTTTAAAACTAGCACAAGTGTAACGAGAAATATTATTTTCATGCCTAAAACTTGATTGATTTGATGGGAATTTATGTTTTTACAGTTATAAAATGTGCATTAAAACATACACATTCAATAGTAACATCCATGTGGAAGTTTCCAGTTTTTCCACAAATACCTAAGAACTTATAAAAACAACCCTTGAGAAAGAGATTAACATAGATTTTTAAAAACAGTGGCATATTTGAACAGTGTAATAATAATGTGTTATAAATTTGAAACTATAGGAACTGCTATTTCACAAAATATTCAAACATTATTTTTCTTAATATTTAAAAAAAATATAATAACCTAAGAAGCTGCACTGAGGTCAATTGAATACATTTTAAAAATATAATTGATTTTTCAGCACATATAGAAAAAGATTCTGTTGAAGGTGACAAAGAGAAGAAAAAGTGGCAGTCTATTTTCAATCAGATTTACTTAAAGAATGATTACATTTCATACAGTATCTACTTTCATAGATGTATGTTGTAAAACAGCAGATTTGGCTCTGGTATTAGTCATAAAAGGTACAATTTGCCTTTGTCAAAAAAATAATTCTTAACTTACAGGTAAATAATAGGAATTTAATTGTTGACATGAAATCGAATTAATTCCCTTTTTGACTAAATCATCTGTTTGACTAGCCAGCCAACATTTAGATTTAATTTTTTTAAACTGTGTTAACACTTAAATCACCATTAATGAATGCAGGAAATCACAATTATGCTGAAAATAATATTTACATCATGTGAAGAAATGACAATATTATTTTTCAATTTCAGTATAATTTTGTAAATATATTTTTAAAAAATATTTGAACACAATTTAAAAAAAAAATAGCCCTGTGATCCCACAAAATGAAATTTTATAAAAAGTATCTGATATTACTGACATTATGTATTGTGAAGAACTAAATTCAGTAGTGGAATGTAATTAGGTAAGCTATTTCATGCCTTATTTTCAAAAATACAAGTCACAGGTACTTTAAAATTGATGGTAACAAAAAAAAAGTTAGTAAAATCAATGGCATGATGGGCAAAATGGCAAATTGGTTTAGTGTAAACTGTGAAACCCACTGATTTCCCTTGATGTTTCCTGATTTAAGCCAGGATCATTATATAGCTGAGAACCATTCACATAATTGCAGGCTAATGAACCTCATAAAACATAACGTAAGACAGCACAACAGATTAGTGATGGCTAACAAAATATGTAAAGAAATCTTCAGTTTGATGAAACAAAAAAATTTTCTCTCAAAAAGATCTAACAAGTGCCAAGCAGAAATATAGCAAGAAAAAAAGTAAAGAAATTAAAGACAATAATACAGGTGTATAACAATATAAAAATATAGAGAGGACTCTCTAGGATAACGCTTACAACAATTAAAACAATCTAATTTTACCTAGGAAATGATAAACTATTTTTTCAAAAACTTTCAAATATTTTAATAGTAAAACTAAGTAGATAATTTTACCTAGGAAATGATAAACTATTTTTTTTAAAATTTTAATAGTAAAACTATGTAGATATTTTCTTAATTTTTGAGGAAATTTTTAAAAATATACATGACTAATAAATAATTTAATATTACTAAGCAAAGCAGGCCTACAATGTACAGAAGTCCCAGTAATATTTCTTTGGTTTGAATCATGTAATACAAACAAGCCAAATGCAAAAAGCTAGTTCTATCAAAAGTTAAAACAAAGGTAAAAAATTACATCATTTTATACAAAGAACTGATCACACTTTTTACTAGTACAACTAACTCCCTTATATTTAGACATATTTACTAAATATAAAAAATAATACATGAAAAAAGAAATAGTAAATGAAACAGTACATGAATACATTACTTTAAAAAAAATAAATTGATATTAGTATCTTTTTGTTGTGGTTAAGACAAGAATTTTGTGAAATTTTTGTGTGGTTTCATTTCAACTTTTTAAAAATTATTTTTTTATACTTGAGCATACATCCTGAAACATGATTGTCCTTATAAAGGTGAAGTTCAATATCCTATTAGCACAATTTAAAAACGGTTAATGATATTTTTAGCTAAGCTGTTTACCCAGTTATATCAACACAAACCTTAAACACTGACAATTTCAAACAGTAAATTACACCATAAAACTATTAAGAAAGACATAACATGTATTAATTTAACCAAAACTTGTACTTGAGATAAATAAATCTGTGCTCTAAGCCTCACAACTTGTATGAATATAAAAAAAAATCTGTACCATAAATACAAAAATTTGTTTTGTTTTGTGCATATTTTACATGGACACATTTGCTAGACTTAACCTTGTCTGTTTTCTGACAACAGTAATACAAAAAAATAATTTTGCATTGAAAACCATTTTAAGTGACTTAATTGTAACTTTTTAAAACCAAAAAATCTTAAGAAATATTACCAATCCCAAGAGTGCAATGAGCAGAAAAGCAACAACATCTGTTAGCATGGTGATGTAAGGAAACAGTAAGAAGATAAACAGTAGAAGTAGAAAGCCAATGTTGAGAGTCCTTCAATTCTAGAACCACTGTTGCATCCACTTTCTTTGACAGGGAGTTCTATTCAAAAGGAGAGATTTTAAGATGTGAACCATCAACTAATAACAGTACAATCTAGCCCCAGGTTAATACTAAATTAATCAAGAATAAACTAGTTTAAAAAGAAAAGATCCTTTAGGATTTTAGGGTCTGTAGGAAAGATGAGTTCATCCCTGCAGCTCGTAAAAGTATAGTGTGGTCAGCAGTATGTCCAGCCTAAATGTTTAGCTTGTCTGTTGTGTCAGACACTTATCAGAGCTGTGCTAACTACAAGACATCTATTGGTCAACAGTTTGTGATACAACACTTTCAAATGAGCAATTAAGTTCTCTACAGTTCAACTAAGCTCTCCAATATTAACTGGCTTATTAGGACACACAATGGGATGGGGTGGCCTAGCAGTAGAGAGCTAGACCTCAAACCCAAAAGTCTTGAGGTTAAATCCGGGAACAAGTCAGTAGAACATCCATGAGTCCACCCAGCTATGATGGGTACCCAACTCACGTTAGGGAAGGTAAAGGCTGACCACACTATCCCTTCATCTGCCCGATGTGTCTTGGGCACGAATGGGAAAAGATGAAAATGATTATAAAGCTTAAGTCGGTTTTTATCTTTCCTCACTATAAACTAAAAAAAATTGGCAACTCCCTGCTCAGAAATGGGTATGTCTACAAAACAAGTGAGCTAGAAAATGACTTACTATTAGCCTAGTCTGTGTGTACCCCATTTACTTGAGGTTTAGGCCTGGAAATGACTTTGAGTGAATAAGCCCCAGCAATAGCTAGGAAACAAGCAACATGACCAATGAAGTAGACAGACTTGTAAACCTGTGGAATGAATAAATATTTACTGTGAACTGCTAACAGAATTTAAAAATTTATGTAAATAAAATACTTGAATTAATATTTTAATATACTTTATATATACTTAACAATGTGAGCGGTAAAAAAACTGAAAGAATTGTAGCCTCCTCACATACCATCTTTTAAAATAATTGGCTTTTTAAAACTTTTTTAGCCTGCTACTTAGTAGTACCAACACTTCCAGCTTGTACTTACAGCAAACCATTTCTCGTATTCTAATAAAACAAAACCAACAAGAGCATAGGACCAGAGGAACATTAGAGTAAGTTTCCTAACAACACGTCCTATAACACCAAGGGCACTCCAATTTGGCAACTTGCTCTGAACATTTAGCCTTTTGAAAATCCATATCATCTGGAAAGAGCATTTTTAAAAAAAAAAACTGAATTAAAATTGAACGAATAAAATATTTTGTATTTGAAAAGAGAAATATCTTTAGTAGTTAATTTGTAATAGAATACATGGATAAAATAGAAAAGGATAAATATACATTCAATGTGTAGTTTCTACCAATACAAACATCAACCATGCCAAATTTAGGAAGATAGTGAAATTTAACTTTATATTAATGTATGAACATCAGGGGCCGGCCCAGGAAGATATGGCAACGTAGGGTGTTGGAGGAAAGGATTGAAAGGAATTGGGAGAGCTGAGTGGAAGGGGAACATGGGGAGTGGAAAGCTTTGATAGAGGCCGTAAGTTCTACACGGATGACAATGATAAAAATATGAAGTTATCATATGAAATAAGCTCATTTAAAAAAAAAAGTATTAATATTCATCTTTTACACACATTTTATTACTGATTAATATATGTATGAAGACAACAAACCTTGGTCTCAGCATTGGTGTCCAAAAGCTCAAGTAAGAAACACATGTAATAACCCGACTGGACTCCATGCCATACAGCCAAGTAAAACAACGTGGCAAGCTGAGAAACTATTTTACTGCCCAGGAATCGCAATCTCTTGTAAACGTATCTAACAAAATCAGACACAGAAAAAGTGTTAACAGGCATTCGCAGGGCCAATGAAATTTGCACAAACATTTTTTAAAATCTGGCGCATAAAGAATTTCAGTCACAGAGCCAATGAAACTTGAATAAACATTTTTAAAAATCTGGCAGACCAAGAATTACCTAAGCATCCACTGATTAGTGTTGACATTGAAGGCTTGAATAAAGTCGGAGAAAGATTCTCCAGTCTCCAGGAGCCAAACTTTTATATTTGTGCACCCATCCCACTGTTTGACGCCAGCTTTATCCACACCATTGTAGCTCATACCAGTGAGAATTATGCTGCCCTCCTGGATCAAAAATAAGGGTAGCGTTAAAGAATAAATATTTTTATCTTTAGTTTTATATTTGAATACACTTTTAGATCATTATTAGTTTGGACAATTTTTTCAATGTAGACTAGTATATGTATAACATAAATTCATAAAAAATAAAACATGACATCACAAACCTGAATTAGCCAAACTCCAACATATTTATGAAGAGCATTTTTTCCCCAAATCAAAATTAAGGCACATTTAGTAAAAAATCCTAATTCCTGCAAGGAATATACATAAATATCTATATAAAATGCATTAAAATAACAAAGAATGTGTAACATTGCATGCTGAAATTATATTTTTATAAATGAGATGTATTAGAGTCTAGTGGTTCTTGCATACAATTTTAATTGGAGTATCATATTAACAGAACTAAGTAAATAATGGAGCAACTAAGAGTATGAGCTCTTAACAGAACTATGTATAGTATGGAGCCACTGTGAGTTGTAAGGGAGCAAACTGAGGGATTACTGAATGAATGTTACTGTCAATAAAATCAATAAAACACTGGGAATTTAATCACGGCACATTACGATTAATAATTTAGAAAAGAGCCTAGCTGAAATGGCTCTAAAGCTAGAGAAAAAAGTGTTGTCTTAACTGAATATTTAGATGTACTTAATTTCTCTTGCTCTTCTGTGAATTACATGCCTAAAGGCTATAATTAATTACAAAATGCTAAATTGCAACATGCCACAGAATCAATACTTACATCAAAAACAAGACTAGTTAAATATTTATCAGGCAGCAACAAAGCAAGTATTTGGAATAGGATCAAGTACACAAGGCCCCCTGCCAATCGCTTTAGACTTGCATTGATGCTTGAGGGGAAAAAATAATGTCAGAAATAGGTTAACAAAACACTTCATTCAAACTTTAATTCAATTTACAATATCATAATTATTCTAACAGAAAATGTTTTTTTTTCAAAACATATGGCTGATTCACATTATTATGCAAATTAAAATATGCTGTTCAATTATCATAATCCTTTATTTCTTTGCTTGACCAAATTATTTCTCAAATTAGCAATTTAAAAGAAATTAAACAAGGAAACATCTTTAACAGCAGGAATGTGAATGTGTATTATTTTCATTTTACTACTGCTGATGTACTTTAGAGTTTAACAACACAATCTGAGAACAGAAATGTAATTACTTAGGAGTTTTGTATACATAATACAGACCTGTTTGGGGCCATCCCATTTGATTCAGCAAACCCACCATTCACAAACTCTAAATAACGTTTCATGGAGAACTTCATAAAAAGAAAGAAACAGTTCAATAAACTTAACATTTAAACTAAGACAATATTAAACTATCAAATGTTTTATGTAAATGTTATCTACAGGTAGGTAGAGACTGTACCTGAGGCCCAACCAGCACCCCACCAAAGAACAAGCTATGTCCCAACATTTCTAAGTAGCCTGGCCTTCTAGAGAGAGCTGTGTTGTCTTTGCCACCACTCTCCTTCTCTGAAACCTTGAGACAAAAACATTTGTTAGCTATAAATAACACAATTGAGTATTACATTAGCTAGACTGGTCTCAAAATTGTTAATATTGTAATTACTCACTAGTCAATTTAAACAACGAACAAGCGGCAATTAACTACAACACACTACTAATGGAAAATAAGTTTGAAATACATATTTAGTCTGATATAAACCAAGTGAATACATTTGCTGTTTTGCTGGATAAGTCAGTACAAAAGGAATGAATTAGCTTAACAGTTTTTTTTATCTACTATTTACACCATTTCATTTCTTAAAATATAAAAAAATTGACTGTATGCAAAAGTATTTTAAATTTCTTTAACAACTTTTATGAAAGAAAAATAGTGTCTGAATTATTGGCGTTATTAAATCTGAAGAAAGTCTTGACATCATGTATTGTTTAATTTTTTAAAATAATTGATTTTTTCTAGGACACTTGTGTAATTTACTGTATTTTTTATATAAGAGTAAACTAAACTACATTTTACAAGTTTTATAGTTTTTTTTTAAATAATTAAAACAAAAAGTGTTATAGACTAAATAATTATATGCGGTGTGCACGTGATGGATCAACTAAATATTTACCTTCTGGCCATCATAGTAATCAAAAGCTACAGCTGTCAAGCGAAGTGTCAACACACAATGTGGCATGGTCCATGATATCCCAAACTCTTGATAGTTGATTTGGGAATAGTAGCCAATGATAAGATAGCACTGATGGAATAATTTAGTCAGCTGATCAAGAATGTATACTGTACACAAATTCGTATTTTTTAATATACATATGTATGTAAAATATAAGTATATAAATATATAAGCCATACTCACTGTGTTGAAAACAAAAATAAATATGACAGAAAACTTTGTCCCACCACAGACGAACAACACCAGATATGTGATGGTGATATTTAGCCATGTGTGATATGTGTCAATACCTGAAATTTAGGAGGCAATGTCAACACTTTTCATAATGGACATAAAAAAATCAATACTTTTATCCATAAAAAAATTATTAACTTGTAGACCAGCACTTACCAAAGTTATAGTAGCAAATCAGAAGACCTTCAAGGGCAAAAAGTATATGTTTCACAATTGGCGGTGAAGAGTAGAGAACTGGTAATCTATGTAGAAGTGCTAGAGGGTACCCTGAGGAAAAAAAAAATTACACTTTAACAACATATACATATTTATATACTCAAATAGAGTATAAAGCATTGCAAGACATTACTTTTTAAAAGATCTAGCTTTTTAATATATTTTTCCCCATTCTGATGCAAATACTGGGACTGCTGAATGCATATTAATGAATAACCAATTGCATTTATCATTGCTCATTTCCTTTGGTTTTTAACAAAGCCTATTGATTTTATGTAATGTCTGTATCCCTTTGGTTAAGGTCTATAATATTTGACAATGGAAAATTGCCACCTGTTACCATATACATTACAGAAAAAGTAAGCCTCTTTGTTTTAGGGCTTGTGAAAAAAAAAATCAAATAATAACATCAGTGAACACTCTTACAAAAAAATGGCATGTTATTTTTTAGAACTTTAAGTACATTTTTAACTTATATTACTTACTAATGTCAACAATAAATAAATGTATTTGTTTACACAAGTGATTAATATAAATAAATATTATAACAGACATTCCTAATTATGTTAGATCAAGAGTAGTGATTTATTGATTTAAATTATTGTTCATTTCAACAACAAACTGGGCTATACTGAACTGACTACAGCTGTGTAGCCATACAACTCAGACTAATTAAAATTTGTCTTAATTTTTACATGCTACAATTTATTTAAAAAATAGAAGGCTGCATCCGGGGATTTGTTAAGAGATGATTTCTCCAACATACCCATAAAATAAAGTGGTAAGACCTAATCCTGAATAAAGAGATAAGGACTAGCCTAAAGATATTGTTTGTGAAGATGGTGACGGTCAGGCCATGCACGGGAATATAAAAAAAAACAAATTGACTCCTTTGTATCCTACCAAAATTAATGTGCATTGTCACAAAGATGGGCGTACTTTCATTTTAAACTTCAATGATGCCTATTTCTGAATGTGTTAGTAGAGTAATCTGTAGTTAGATCTAAAAATTTGAAATTTAAAATTTAGTGAGAAATCCTCCCCATGTTTGGTATTTGGCAGACTCTATACATCATTACATAGGCTTAAGAGGCCCCAGCTACAGGCCAACAATTATAGGCTAGCTACATCTAGTATTGGGGGGATTCATATTTTATAGCCAATACTTTGACTTTGAATAATATTAGATTTGAATAACTAGTCTGGACCTGGATCTACATAGGGCTATAACTTTAATTACTAAAAGAATGTTAAATATTAAATTCTGCAGTATCTGTATAACTATTACCTATGTCAGACAATAGACTCTTCTGTAATAATGTATATTCAGTTGTTAGTAGTATTGTATACTGGGGTAATGGTGAGAAATTAGTGTTAGAGCTATGGAAGGCTTCTGCTTAGATGTGAGTTAGTCATTGTTCTACCAGCAATGATTTGCCTGTAATCTAACACCTCATTTTAAGAAGTCTCCATTATTCAATTGTGACATCTGACATACTTCTATTTAGCCTAATATTTATATAATACTAACAGTCCCAGAGGCCTACCTAGTTATTATCTCTATATATGGAGTATAAAGGCATTACTGTTATTCAACAATCGACTTAAATAGGTTGTGCTAGTTTTATAAACAGAACTAACATTGAGGGTTAAGGCTATGAGCCTATGGTAGGACTTACAAGTCACTTGACACTTAGGTTAGCAAATCTTAATTAATTGTACTCCCAGTAATCTAACACCTCTTTTTAAAGATTATTGATGATTATTCTATTATTATTGTCATCAGACAATGAATCACAATGGTATACCTACATACATACTACATACAGTACATAGACTAGAACCTACTGTCTACTAAAATAGTACTATTACTACAATTTTATAATTAGTTACTAGTTAGGCCTGGCATAATATACTAATAATATAGTAAATAATATAATAATACTATACAATATACATCACTATATAATATATATATTATAATTTAATATACACTATGACTTGACTATCTAGATCTATAGGCCTAGGCCTCTTATGTAAAATTATAAATCTAGCTAGATTCTAGATCTAACTACAGTGGTAGACTATGTCTAATTTATAAAAGGTCAAGATTATATCTAGATATAGATTCTAGATCTAGATCTAGAATCTAATTATTTAAAAAATAATCATAAGCAGAGCCAAGCCAAAATGCAAAAAAAAAAAAATGATTAAAATTTTAAATTATTTTTTTTACTTACCAACTAAAATTGACAAAAGTAATTTTATAGCCCCCTCAGGTGCTCCTATAGCTGAAGCAATCATAGAGGCGACCATTTTCAAGAATTCTGTACCTGTAGAAGCCTATTACTTAGTCGATAACTTATTTCAGAAAAGGGTTCAAATGTTTTGCCAGGACACGATCAGCTGAATTTAATAATTAGATCTACATAAAGGGTCGAGAAAGGATAAAACTCATGTTGTTTACTGCAACATGCGTTGCCAGCTACAAGTACGCGTTTCAAGCCAAAGTTAAATACGAGCTTTATCATTTAACGTGGAAATGTGATGTACATTGGTTGAATAATTTTGAATAATATACATTAATATACAATAATCTCAAAATCAAGCTAACAATGAATATGATCCTGCATAATACTTTTGACAAGACAAATGACGTGTATTGACCTACTTTAAAAATAAAAAAACAGAAAGTTGGTTTTAAATCTCGAAATCAATAGGACCTATCCTATTAATTTAACTGTCTAATCACTCTATAGCTACGCCACGTGTGTTAGTTTTATTACAATTTATTATTTGTTGAAACTAAAAGGTCTTTCAAAAACGGAGGAGTATCGTAGCCTATTCATTACTATGTAGGCCTACAAACAAATACATGTTTACCAAAACATCATTACTGTATAAATAACGTACTGCTGAAGGTATTTAATATGTGGCTCTGTTAGATTTATCCGTTTACTAAAGCTACTATAACAGTTTACTTCTTATTTACGAATAACCAAATTTTAACAACAACAAACAGTGTGAATAGATTTTGAAAAACAGTAAAGCAAACGATAGATTAAATCTTGGCAATTAGATGTAGGCTACTTAAGCAACGAGAATGATGTCAGGCTAATTCTTTTTTGACGATTTTCCATCCCACTCCTCCCCTAAACGCACAGCCGGACATTCTCCTTAAATAATATGACGTCATGCTTCCCCCCACATGCGCTATTAATCATACTTTTAGCATCATAATTCATAACTAATAGTGTTTGATGTTTCATAATTTTTTACTCTTTAAGTTATAAAAAATATGATGTGCTAGGTCGAATTTCTTGCATTCCTGCCTGGGCCTGCCTCCCTCGACGTAGCGCAACGTCACAAAAGTCTGAACCCCAAATTACCTCAGGGATTTTCTTCTTCTTTCTAAAGCTCCGAGTTACTGAAAGAAAAAGTTACCAAACCTTTTAAATGTTTGTTATTTTTATGACATTTTATACAAAATGGTTCGTTTTTAATGTTTCCTATATAGCTCAATATCCCCACCCCTCCCAACACACACACACATTTACACACACACACACACACAGTGCAGTGGCGTAGCGAGGTCGGGTGTCACCCGGTGCGGCACTTAATGGTGTCCCCCAGAGGCGTAGTGACCCTTCCCGGGGACAAACTTTCAATTTTTCGAGTCGCACCCCACCCCCTCAAGTTTTTCTCTATATATTTTGCTATTTTTGCCTTGGTGTCACCCCCCTAAATGGTGTCACCCGGTGCGGTCCGCACCCCCTGCCCGCCCCCCTCGCTACGCCTCTGCAGTGGCCATAGATAGAAGACAACGATAGCAATCTGAAACAGCGAGCAGTTTATAAGTTCAAGTGGGTTAAGTGTCAAATTAGTTTTAATGACATATTTAATGGAGTTGTGTCACGTTTTGTTTTCCATTTTTAAAAAATCCAAGTATGGCCGGATGAGTGAGGTTTTAATAATATTGATGGATTCAATTTGGATATATTTAAAATACGAAAGTTAGAAATTTAAAAAACCTAAAAATTAATGAAATGATTAATTAATATTAGATCTAGTATTATGGACACGAACTCGCAACTTAAACCCAACGCTAATATGATTTGACTAAGCCTACCCTTCCCCCCCCCCCCACCCCCCATAATTGAGTCAATTGTGTGGGGAGAGGGGTCCACGCTGTACCTGCCAACATGCAGTATGCTTGTAAGTTATCAAAACAAAGTGCCGTTATCCTGTAAACATCATGTATATCATACATTTTCACTTCTGTGCTCGCTTTTAAGCAACAGACGTTTACTGTTGTAAATTAAACTTTATCAAAATTTTAGAATTAGTTGATTTTAGCTGTTAAGGGCTTGATTTGTTTGTGAATTGATGTTTTTTCATCAAAAAGCAATTTCATTCAGGCATTTAAAAGAGGTTATAGTACTAGTCGAGGTAGGACAAAATAGTCAATATAACGGGAGCCCATTTTACGGGAGCCAATAAGTCGGGGCCCTTTTGGCTGGGCTATTTTGACTGGGTCGTTTTGTCGGTGGTCGATTTGACGGGGTCATATTAACGGGGCCGTTTTGACGAGGCCGATTTGTCCCGGGCCGTTTTGACAGGGCACCGTTTTTGTTAAACTGTAAAAGCATCTTTTAGAATTTATTCATTTTCATACTTAAGAATAAGAATGCCCTTATAGTTTTTGAAACACTGCAAGAACACCATCAAAAATAAACATCAACGTATTGTTTTCGATACATTGTATGTGGTATCATTCAGAATAATTATTGATTTTTATGAGTAGTAGGGGCATGCTTTAAAATTAAAAAAAAATTGACCCCCCCCCCATGAAAAGATCATGGCTACGCCACTGGTTAGGGTTATAGTGCTGCTTGTCTTGATCCAATGGAAGGCGTATGGTTATAATAGAAATGTCAAAGAACGTTAGGCCTAGTCTTATATAATTTACTCACGTGTGTTTTATAAGTGAGGCCAATCAATAACACATTTTTATTTTATTTTAGGGAGAGCAAGCGTTAAATACAGAGGGAATAAAATACTTAAAAAAAACTTTTTAAAAAACCACGTTTTTCATGTGTAGCAACGGACTAAAAAGGAGAAAATAAAATACTTAAAAAAAACTTTTTAAAAAACCACGTTTTTCTTGTGGACTAAAAAGTAGAAAATAACTATTTACATACATTTGATGACAAAAAACGTGGGTACGTTCACCATCAAATTTCCCGACCCATCTGCCCGACCCACGTTTTTAGTCATCAAATGTATGTAAATAGTTATTTTCTACTTTTTAGTCCACAAGAAAAACGTGGTTTTTTAAAAAGTTTTTTTTAAGTATTTTATTTTCTCCTTTTTAGTCCGTTGCTACACATGAAAAACATGGTTTTTAAAAAAGTTTTTTATATAGTTTATTTTCTACTTTATCTAATGACTTGATTAAGTATGAATTGACTAAGTGTTTATAAATACACGGACTAAAAAAATCTTGAGCGACCAGAATTCGAACCTGGGTTGTCGCGGCCACAACGAGAAGTACTAACCACTATACGATCACGGCCAGCGCGCTCACATCGATTGGGGCCGAAGTAACTGTGTCGATAAGCCTCCAGTCTTGTCGGTATCTTTAGAAATCATGTCCTCAATTTTATGGTCCTTGGGGCGTAATTAAATTAAGCTAATTACGGTCTCTAATTGCTAGTTTTTATGATTGCATCTGAAATTGTTAGGCGAAAGTAGCATGCATGCCAAATTTCAGGTCTATAGAGCAATCAGAAGTGGGCTAATTTTCGATGTCAATTTTAACAACAAACAAATCCACACATCCACAAACGCGAAGCTGAGTTAAGAATAAAATACTTAAAAAAAACTTTTTAAAAAACCACGTTTTTCTTGTGGACTAAAAAGTAGAAAATAACTATTTACATACATTTGATGACAAAAAACGTGGGTACGTTCACCATCAAATTTCCCGACCCATCTGCCCGACCCACGTTTTTTGTCATCAAATGTATGTAAATAGTTATTTTCTACTTTTTAGTCCACAAGAAAAACGTGGTTTTTTAAAAAGTTTTTTTTAAGTATTTTATTTTCTCCTTTTTAGTCCGTTGCTACACATGAAAAACGTGGTTTTTAAAAAAGTTTTTTATATAGTTTATTTTCTACTTTATCTAATGACTTGATTAAGTATGAATTGACTAAGTGTTTATAAATACACGGACTAAAAAAATCTTGAGCGACCAGGATTCGAACCTGGGTTGTCGCGGCCACAACGCGAAGTACTAACCACTATACGATCACGGCCAGCGCGCTCACATCGATTGGGGCCGAAGTAACTGTGTCAACAAGCCTCCAGTCTTGTCGGTATCTTTAGAAATCATGTCCTCAATTTTATGGTCCTTTGGGCGTAATTAAATTAAGCTAATTACGGTCTCTAATTGCTAGTTTTTATGATTGCATCTGAAATTGTTAGGCGAAAGTAACCTGCATGCCAAATTTCAGATCTATAGAGCAATCAGAAGTGGGCTAATTTTCGATGTCAATTTTAACAACAAACACATCCACGCGAAGCTGAGTTAATAAAAACGTGTTAAAAACGTGTTAAAAATGCTTCTGGTTTTGACATCAAATCATCCAACATTAATTTAGATTGTAAGCAGCATACAAAAAATTGATAGGAAATTGTTTAGGATCGTGGTTATCAGAAAATTGGTGGCCTCCTGCAGGGGCGTAGCGAGGGGGGCGGCGGGGGGTGCGGACCGCACCGGGTGACACCATTTAGGGGGGTGACACCAAGGCAAAAAATAACAAAATATATAGAGAAAAACTTGAGGGGGGGGGGGTGCAAATCGAAAACTTGAGGGGGCGTGCAAATCAAAAGTTTGAGGGGGGGGGGGGGGGGGGCTACAAATAAAAAAATTGAAAGTTTGTCCCCGGGAAGGGTCGCTACGCCTCTGGGGGTGACACCATTAAGTGCCGCACCGGGTGACACCCGACCTCGCTACGCCACTGGCCTCCTGTTCAGCCAATTAATCCGTCCCTGTCAATGAGTTAATGCTTCATCACTTCTTTTCTATAATCATGAGATAAACCTAGTACTTCATTGAAGCTTCCATCTGGCGTCGAGGTTAGGTTATAATAATTCGTATTGATGGAATACATAAAAACAACGTCACTAACCAATCTGTCACTTCAAATAACCAGGCATAACATTCAAAACATGTTAATTACTATCGAGCGTAGTGATTTCGAACGATGCTAATCAGTGTTTTTTTTCCAGACCTTTTTCTCCGGGGGGGGGGGGGGGGGGGGTTCACTTGAAATTTTCGGGGGGTTCGGACTAAAAATCCGTTAAAAGTATATATTTTCTATATAAATTCCATTCACTTCGGGGGGGGGGGGGGGGGGGGAGGGCGAAGAGATGCCTGGAAGAAATTCTGATTCTAATAGTCGGACCAGTAGGTCTTTACATCTTTTTATGTTTTGTAAAAATCGGAGGCACCCGGATGCAGACCTCCCACTTAGTCCGCCACTGCCTCCCCTTATATTCTCTCTGTAGTATCAAGCCGGTGAAAATCCTTGGTTTTCATGAGTAGACCTAAACTTAAAGGATTTCGCTACACGCAAATCCGCTAAAAAAATCCTTACAATTTATGTTCGCTACAAAATCGATGTAGAAAATAGTTTAAAAGTTCACAAAGCTGAGCACGTATTTTTTTTTTTTTTTTTTTTACTGAACTTCGACTTTGTAGAATTGAAAAATGCATCTCAAATTCAACTTTTTTAATTTTTAAAAACAACATGTTGGCGTCCTTCCATAGTTGGCAGCCCTTTCCGCACTACATCAGTGCACCACAACTGATCCCTTAGTACGAAATACAAAACGGCAACTTCTTTTTAATTCCGAAATTTAAAATATGACCAACATGATTAACCGTACATTTTGTCGTCGCGCGCGCTGTTCGTCCTTCGATTGGCGGCGGCGCCCCTATATAAGCAAGCAGTCTACACTGTTTTGTTCTCTTCAGTGTTGCCTCACTTAGCAGTCTGGCAAAGTGGAAAATTTAGTCTCAGCTAACTTACAGAGCCCATTTTTTACAGCAAATTTTGGTTTGGTTACACACTTGTTTTAAAAAAAAGTTTATTTTGTTGGAAAAATTACATTTTAAATAAACATAAGACCTACCTATTCGTCACCATCCACAAAGAGATTATACTTGTAGCCTAGCTTAGTTAGGCTATCTAATAGATTAAATTGAACCAATAGTATAAGGCATAAAGGAAAACAAATAATATCCCTAGTTGTTGATTGGTCAGACCAGCTAACTAGCATGTAGATCTATCCACTTTCGATTTCGCAGTAAATAAACAGATCGGCGTACGCATTTCACGAGGAAGTGAAGTTAGAGTTAGACGATTCTATGTTTATTTCAACTTAGATCTAATATTACTTCTAGATCTAGAACTAGGCCGATACAATTACAATGAATAAGTTAGTTCTTGAAGAACGAACCCCCAAGTGTAGAATATGCTAAGTAGATTTAATTCGTAATATTTTGAGATTGATACAACTACACTACAACTTACTAGATTCTAGATCTAGATCTAGATCTTGATTTACTAGACTCAGTACTTACTAGTGACTTACTACACTACTTATTTTTTAAATGATTTAATCACAGTGACTGTCAACGAATGTATTCAGTAGATTCGTAGTAATTACTTAAATTTATTAGTTAGCCCTGACTTATTTACTTGTTTACCTAAAATTATAGTAGGCCTAATTATTATAATTTTTCTCAATATTATCAATAATATCTGTTGCAGTAGGCCTATTTTAATTTTTATTATAATTAATTTAGGCTATTTTCTAACAAAAAATTACCTTCATCTAGTTAAATAAAATGATATCAAATAAAATTGGACCAGAGAACTTCTAAAACAAAGTGCTAGGCTATTTCTTTATCCATAAAAGATTGGAATGCTTGTTAATGTTATTACTATGCATGTGTAATGACAATGTGTATATATGCTGTAATTTTTAACAGTCCTAGATCTATGTTATTAAACAAAATTAACATCTTGTAAATACTTGAAAGATAAATATATATTATATATATAAGAATGACTAGGCTACTCAACTAGTTATCTTTACTAGATTAGTTTTTGTTCAGTCTACTTCTTGTGCTAGGTTTAGTACATACTGATATTATATCATATAACTCATTAGTTAGTTATTTAGTTTGTACTAGTTAGTTATTAAATTACATTTTTAAAATCCACTTTCAAAAGACCATGCAGTGTGATTTAAATTTAAACATAAAGTATTGCTGTGTGCTATGGTTAAAAATTGACTATACAATTTGGTTCTTATTATGTTCTGATTAGTAGGCGACTCTTTAATTTAGTTCACACAAAATCTTTCTAGCATATTTTATAATATATACAATAATTTATTTTTTCGGCAGATGCATGACATTTTGAACAAGGATGCCAAAACTTAGCGGTGGTGATACCTTAGCAGAAAATAATTTTGTTGAGAAAAATGAAAGTGTTTTAAATGAGTCGAACATAGAGGTTACCAGTAATGGTAGTAATGGCACTGCAGTTTTCAATGGAGCAAAGAAGGTTTCTCGAACCTCCAGTGATTCTTCCTCATTGTCATCATCACCATCAAATTCCAGGGCAGCCTCTCCCATACAAGCTAAGAAAAAGTATGTCTCTCTCAAAGAAAAGATTTTCAAAAGACTGAAGTCTAGAACACCATTCTACTCGTTGGAATTCTTTCCCCCTAGAACACAGAGTGGTGCTTTAAATCTGATCGCAAGGTATGTGCTTGCTGTTTTAACATTTAACATAGTTCTTGTATGTATTCAAGAGATCCAAATACTATTCTGAAATATAAAAAATACACATTTTTGTTATGGAGAATTTGAATTTCTCATATTTTATAGTTGAAGTTGTTAATACTAAAATGAAGTTAAGGTATATGCAATATTCACTAAGCTCTAACTTATGTCTTATCAACCATGTTTTTTACTTATTATTTTTGTCTGTTTAGATTTGAGAGGCTAGCTGAGGGGAGCCCATTGTTTTGCGATATGACATGGCACCCTGCAGGGGACCCCGGCAACACAGAAAAACCCACAAGCTCTACCTGCATTGCAGGTACAATGCTCAACTATTGTGGCATTGAGACCATGCTACACATGACATGTGTGGGAATGACTGTAGATGAAATCAAGCAGAATCTTCACAAAGCCAAAGACATTGGAATCAGAAATATTCTGGCCTTAAGGGGAGGTAAAATTAACATTTGTTCCTTTGCATTTTTGAAAAAAATACATGTCTTTTAATGCCAAATATATTTTTTTGATGTGCATAATCTCATTATGATAAAGATGTCAAATTTTTCCATTGTGATAAAAATATTAGATAAACTTAAAAAAACAAACAATAGTTTTGTTTTTTAAATCTAAAAATAATCTATGCAAAGTTCTTACAGCTAGTTTAAAGGTCAATAGGTTGTTTTTTTTAATCAGCAAGTCAACAAGTTTGTTATCTTAAGTAAATCTCTGTATCTTGTGCAACAGGTGTTTAATTAAGTGCAGTTCACAAAGGAGCATTAAAATACTACTTCATTATCTCACAATAAAAATTTCTTATAACTAAATCACTAGAGTACCTTATACAAAACACTTAGTTGTGTCATTTGCTAAATTAAGATAAGATTTAATAAATGATTGCATACTATAAATTCATTTAATTAGTTTAAAGAACACAGATTACTTACTGCCCCTTCGCTTTTTCCCTTTTATTGAAATTGAATGTCACATTCAGTCAATTATTTATTTGTCCTGCTAACCTATAAGTGTTTTTTTTATAAAGTATAGTGTAATATGTAGTATGTTTTTTTACCTGTCTTTATATTTCCTAAGTCTTTGTTAGGGTATAAAAGTATGTGATTTTTTTTCTTTCATTATTTCTTTAGATTTACCAGAGGGGGAAAAGGAATGGAAAAGCACCACAGGTGGAATCAACTATGCTGCAGATCTCGTTAGATTAATTAAACAAGAATTTGGTGACCATTTTGTTATATGTGTTGCTGGTAAGAACTTACGTATATTTGTTGACTATTAATTCCTGGTGTTTGTTTCCTTCACTAAACAAAATCTGGTATACAATGATGTTTGGCAATAAGACAACTCTTGGTTGTTTTTCTGACTAGGTTATCCCACTGGTCATCCTGAGTGTAAGTCCTACCAGGAAGATCTTCAGCACCTAAAGGAGAAAGTCGATGCAGGTGCAGATTTCATCATCACACAACTCTTTTTCAAGGCTGAAACATTTTTTAACTACGTGGCTGATTGTCGAAAAATTGGTATACAGGTGCCAATTCTTCCTGGCATATTACCCATTCAGGTAACAGCTTTTTTCAAAAATAAATTATAAATTTAGTTTAAAGATAAAGTAGTTACATTAAATATATTTATAATTTTCCACATTTGGGAGTTGTTTCTATAAAACTTTTAAGGTAACTGTCAAGATTTAGTGTTTTTTTTTCTGAATTTATCTCGTTTAGCTGTTTATTTTTCAAGTTTCGTGATATAGTTATTATTAAAACTTACATTTTGGAATGGTTTTCAGGCTTATCAGTCTCTTCGCCACATTGTTAAACTCTCCAAGCTTGAGGTGCCACTGGAGATCATCAACTCTATCACGCCTATTAAAGACAATGATGAGGCTATCAGGAACTTTGGTATCGACCAGGCAGTTCTGCTGTGCCAGGAGCTTCTCAAGTCTGGCACCAACACTGGCCTGCACTTCTACACACTCAACAGAGAAGTGGCAGTCAAAGAGGTTCTCAAACGGTTAGGTCTCTGGGTGGAGAAAGTTCATCGGACACTACCATGGAAACAGAGTGCCAACCACACACGCTGCGAGGAAGAAGTGAGACCAATCTTCTGGCGCTGCAGACCAAACAGTTATGTTTATCGTACTTCGGATTGGGAAGAGTTCCCCAACGGCAGGTGGGGTGACACCCGCGCTGCAAGTTTCAACGACTTGAAGTATTATCACTTGTTTTATTTGAAGAGCCAGTCATGCAAAGACGAACTGCTCAAAATGTGGGGAGAGGAGCTTTCATGCGAAGAAGATGTGTGGTCAGTCTTTGTCCACTATTTAAAAGGAGAATGCAACAAAGCTGGCATCAAGGTAATTAAAATTTTAAAACCCTTGTTCATACACTTTGTTCCTATAATGGCAATCTCTCCCAAAGATTTTTTAGATTCTATCATTGTTCTTTGGATGTAATTGTAAAATAATACACTGTCCTTATGTATCATTATTTTGTATGTTGAAAAGAAATTTGAAAGAAATAAAGTTCATAAGGCTATCAGTAATAGTCATAAATTACAAGCATTGCTCCCAAAGGGAAGGCGTGACCTGGTGGTAAAGAGCTAGGCTGCTAACCCCAAAGTCTCAAGTTCAAATCTGGGTTCAAGTCTGAAGAACATCACTGAGTCCACCCAGCTCTGATGGGTACCTAACTCACATAAGGGAAAGCAAAGGCGGCTGGGCATTGTGCTGACCACACTATCCCTAAAACAGATTAACCCTACTTCATCTGCCCCATGTGTCTTGGGCACAAATGGGAAAAGATGATTGCTCCCCAAATAATTCAACTATTGAACTGTATAATATTAGTTACAATATTAGTTATTTTGCAGATTAAGTAAAATTTAAGTGTTTTTATATCTAAAATTGTTGTGGATAAAACATATTTAAACATTTCGTTGATTGCTAAAAGAACTGAAACAGGCAAGTATTCAAAACATTTTGGTGGTATTTGAAATAGAATCTAGTTATGAAGTACCACCACTAGGCTACATTTTATCCAACCCTAACTCAGGACTTAGCCCAGCTGTGTGGTATGGCTAAGCCAAGAGTACCCATGTAGATGAGTTTGTTAGCTTGTTTACCAGTTTTCTGATAAGTAGCAGCAAATGGTTTTGGATGAGAAGGCCATTTTGTTGTTGATCTCCACACTGTATCAACAATTGCTGCTTATTTAGGTCAGGGTGTTGGCCCTCTTCCTTTCAATAAAGAGATTCTATTTTTACACCTTAGCTGTTTTTGATCAAATGTTAATTTAAAAACAATGTTTACTTTAAAAGAGCTGAATTCATGCTAATTAATTTGCAAATAGGTAACGCTACTGTTTTTTTTTATTGTTGAAAGATTGTTTACATGTAGAGTGTTGAAAGTTTCTAAAAATAATTCTGTGTAAGCGGAGAAGGTTACAGTAACCTACTCCTGCTAAACCGGCTTTGTATGTAGGTCAAAAGTTCATTGCTCTTTGCCCGTTGAGCAGAGGAGGTGGGACTTGTTAGGTTCACATACAAGGGGAGCTTACTAGGATTATTTGTGTCTATTTATAGCTCTAAAATTATTAGTAAATAATTTCTGCTTTGTTTTGGTCTGTATAATTGCTTCTTTTTAGCCAGTCGCTCCGGAGGCTTAATCTTATGTTTTGATTTTTAAAAAATAAAATGTGGATTAGGATCAGAGCCAGAGTTTACGGCTGTTAATAGAGTATATTTCTCAGTATTAACTTCAAAGAAAAAAAAACATGAAAAATTACACACTGACATCAACATCTACCCATTCCCGCCTACATGGCAATTTTTACCCCTACAGTCAGACAAAGCCAGGCTCCCTCCCTAGGGGTCATCCATAAATGACGTCACGCTTTTTTTGACGATTTTTACCTCCCCCCCTCCCTTCCGTCACACGTCGTCATAAAAAGCCAGACCCCCCCCCCCTAAAATGATGTCACACCTCAGCTTACAACCCCCCCCCCCCCCCCTCAAAATTGCTGTTGAATTTTTTTTTAACATCGATATTTTTTTCTAAAATCTTGTCAGAACTCGTCAACATTGAGTATTTTGATCAAATCCTAATACAATTTATTAAAACCGTTTTCTAAAACGCAAAATAACGGCTAAAACTCGTTTTCTAACATTGCTTTTTTATAATGCAAAAAAGTGACGTCATACCATCTGAACTCCCGACCCCCTCCCTCTTATCACACACCGTCACAAAATTACGGACCTCCCCCTCCCCCCTACGAGTGTGACGTCATTTATGGACGACCCCCCTAAATGGAGACAATTCTAATGAAATGAAACATCATTTGAATTCCTATTGTTTTTGTTGTTAAGAAATACTAAGTGGGACCCATATGCAACATCAAGATTCTAACCTATCTTACGTAATAGGCCTACAATGACATCGTCACACAAGACGAACCCCCTCCCCCTCCCGGGCCTCTCTCCCCTCGATCTGTGTGTGACGTTCTTTGATGACCCCTAATTGCACTTAACCCGACTAAAGGTGCACTCCGTTTCTTAAAACAAAAGATAAAAAGACCCTTCGATTAACTAAGATACGACATAATTGTCCACGATGCTTTATAGATAACAAAAAGACATCTAATGTTAATAAATCATTGGCTGAGCTAAATCATATATGTAACTGATGACGCGCTGAGCTTAGATAAGTAGGCCGAGGTCAATAAATATTTGACGTATTAAGAAAGTTCACCTTTGTTTGATGGAATGACCTTGACATAAATAAGTCATGCTCTTTCTGTATGCCCATATTGTGTACAAAATCTTTAAAGTTTAAAAAAAAAATCGCTTTTGTATGAATTTCAAATAATCTAGAGCTAGTATTTTTGTGTGTGTGTGTGTGTAAAAGAATGTTGTAGTGAATATTGTTTGGGGAAAAAACACACATGAAAAGACCGCTTTCCATACTTTACAAATCATTAGTTAGGGGTCATCCATAAATGACGTTACGCTTTTTTTGACGATTTTTACCTCCCCCCCCCCCCCTCCCCTCCGTCACACGTCGTCACAAAAAGCCAGATCCCCCCTAACATGACGCCACACCTCAACCTACAACCCCCCTTCTTCTTCTTCTTAATTATTAGTGTTGAGATTTATCTGCCAGTGGGTTTGAACGAGAGCTTTTTGCCGACTCGACCACGCCTCCAACACAATTAAGCGTTACGTGTCAACTGGTTATACGCCATTGAGGCCATTGACTCCGATTTCAGCCTGCTTTTCTTTTTGGATTTGCTTCCAAAGCCTTAGTCCAACCAAGAACAATCTACAAGGCAGCAGTTGTTTAATTTTGGATTTGTCTCTCCTAGAAGAGTGGCCGTCCCCAGCTAACGAGCCTCATCTGCCCGAGGGTTCGAACTCGCGACTTTTCGGTTTAGCAACCATGAGCTTTACCGACTCGACCACGCCGACCCCACAATTCCCCCCCCCCCCCTGAAAATTGCAGTTGAATTTTTTTTTAAACATCGAAATTTTTCCAAAATCTTGTCTTAACTATTACAATTTATTAAAACAGTTATCTAAAACGCGAAATAACGTCTAAAATTCTTTTTTCTAACATTGCAAAAATGTGACGTCGCAACATCTGACCCCCCCTCATCACACATCGTCACAAAATGACGGAACCCCCCCCCCCCCCCCCCCCCCTCCGAGTGTGACGTCATTTATGGATGACCCCTTAGTAGTAAAACACTAGCAGTGTATTATCACATGAACTTATTAAGGACCACCTTGAATCCGTATGATTCAATTAACCAAAAAAGTATTTTTAAGTTTATTTTTTTAAAACGCTGCATATTTCACGCCCCGTTTTCTGAAAATGTTTTATTTAGATGGTTCATTTACATTGATTTTGATGCTTTTACTAAGGGAAATAACCATTTAAATATTTCCACGTTTATATTAATGCAGTTCTTCCCCTTTGCTGAGGATCTGGGTTTAGTTACAGGGTTGTCCATAAACGGCGTCACTCTTTTTTGCTGCTTGTAATCCCATTCACCTTATATAATCACATAAAAATGATAGTCATCATCCACCTCTTAATTAAAATACATTTAAAATAATTGAAACTGCAGATTTCTTTTAAAAAATATATTTTTACAGTAGGCCCTATGCATTGTGCAAGGCAGCAGTTTTAATTGGAGTTTTCTCTCCTAGATGGGTTGCTGGCCCCTGCCAAGGGATCTGAACATGGGACTTTTGGAGTTATCAATCATGCACACTCTTGCCTAACCATGCCTTCCCCTTATATTCATTTGATATATTAAACAAAGTATTGTAATATATTTTTGTTGCTTTTATCACATGTACAAAATTTCAGGTGAAGAGGATCCCCTGGGATGATGATGAAATAGTGGCAGAGACTTCACTGATTGCTGACAAGCTGGCCTGCATCAACGCTAGAGGGGTTCTCACAATCAACTCGCAGCCCCGCGTCAACTGTGTCCCCTCCACTGATCCCATAGTTGGCTGGGGGAGTCCCAATGGTTACATCTATCAGAAGGTATTGTTTTAGTTGGTCTTTTGGACATAGACATTTTTTCTGATTGTTTAAATTAAAAGCTATAAGGATATTTGCCATTATAGTAAAATTTAACATTTAGCACGTTAACATTTATTTAACATTAAAAAATCTCTGCTTTGCTGTTGTATATATTCTATAATTTATATTAAAAAAAAATTGTTTTAAATTAAATTTCTATTAAAATTTTATTTTAAAGATTTTTAAAAACAGATTTACAATTAAATTTCATGTTATAAGTTATATGTTCATTTTTCAGCATTTAAATTTTTTTTACTGTTTTGTTTTACCCAGGCATATCTGGAATTTTTTACATCAAAAGAGAACATTGCTGCATTGAAACAAATTTTGCCCAAATATCCTTTAGTAAACTATCACATTATAAATCATTCAGTGAGTACTCTATTGTTAGCATTTAATTAAACCTAGAACTATAATTAAGCTTGCTTTAGAAAGTATACAATTTTTTTGTCATTATCATTAGGTAATTTAAATAAATTAAATAAATATTAAAATTGAATATAACAACATAAATACAATTCACAATTAAAAAGTTCCTTCTTTCTGTATTATAAGAATAATTATTTTAAATGGAGTGAAAAACTTTTTTAAGTTTAAAAGAGTGTCAATCTTTTGTAAGGGAGTTGCAGACTACACCAACTGTGATGAGTTCCAGCCAATCGCAGTAACTTGGGGTGTGTTTCCTGGTAAAGAGATAATTCAGCCTACAGTTGTTGATCCTGAGGCATTCAAAACTTGGAAGGTACACTTAGTTTAGCATTTTAAAAATGCACAATATCTGGTTAGTTTAATTATGATTAAAGGGCAATAACTTAGAAAATAAATTAAGATAAATGCGAAAGGGCTGTATTTTGAATACAAATTTGCTAGAATGCATTTGACTAAACTGGATTTTTATTGCCAAAAATTATCCCATTTTTTAATTATACGCATTTAAATACAAAACACAGTTTAGATGTAGGTTTTTGTGCCTATTTGTGTTGACAGGCATAGTAGTGCTAGCGTTTTTATGTTAAAATCTCTATTCCAAATCAAAGATAAGAAATAGCTTTTTAAAATAGTAATCATAGATTGTATAATATGACAATAAGATTGTTCAATGTGACAACTTCTCTGCTAAAAAATATTGTATAAAGTGACAACTCTGCTAAAAAGATTGTATAATGTGACAACTCTATAATGTGACAACTAACTTTTCTGCGCAGGACGAGGCGTTTGCTCTGTGGCTGGAGACCTGGGGCTACCTGTACTCACCTGAGTCAAAGTCTCGGGAGATCCTTCAGTACATCCATGACAACTACTACCTGGTCAACCTCGTGGACAACGAATACCCCAAGGAAACTGTACTCTGGACGATTGTTGATGAAATGCTGACTTTAGCAGGAAAGAAAGGTAAATGGGTTCATTTTGTTATGATTTGAAATACCTTGCCACCTTATAATGAAATGCTGACAGGAAAAAAAGGTAAATGGGCTCATTTTGTTGTGATTTTTAAATACCTTGCCAACTTGTATTGAAATACTGACTTAGCAGGAAAGAAAGGTAAATGAGTTCATTTTGTTGTGATTTTAAATACCTTGCCAACTTATGTCTTACACTTGGATAATGTCTATTCTATTCTCATATCAGAAATACTTCACTTAATTATCACTGAGAATAATTAATTATCGACCTCAGCTTTTTTAAAAATTTTACATTGTTGGTAGTTGTAAACTGTTCAGTGGGGAGACAATTCAGTGAGTCATTCCTCAATATATTGTAAATCAAGTAACTTTTACTCTTAATCCTGTTGCCCATTTTATTCTATATACTACCAGCATACTCCCTTACTCCAGTAATATTTTTGTTACTCTCACTTTAGTCTTAGTTGCTGCAAGTTCTCAAATTTTCTAAGCCTAGCTAGTCTAGAAATTCCCAGAATTCTATTCAGTGTAAATATAAACACAAAATAACATAGCTAGAACCTTAGTTGTAAAAATAGAACATACAAATGTAGTCACTGTATTTGATTTTCCTTCATTTATTTTAGCTGTTGATAATGGACCATGCGCATCACTGTCAAGCTAACGAAGAAAAGAAAGGACTAATTGATCTTCAGAAAGAACCCTCCCCACGCAAGTCTTACAGTATTGCTATTGTTATCAGAATCATGTTCACAGGGTGTTCAGTGGATATTTATTATGCAAAAAATATGCATTTCAATACTTTTATTTATTAGCATGTGTTTATGTTAGGTCTTACAGCTTGCTTTTTGTAATCAGACATGCTAATATTTATTTAGAATAGATGGGTTATTTTATATAATTGTATATCAAAGATAAAATGTATGAATTTTTTTTCATTATCCGTATAGCATCAATTTGGTTACTTTACATTATTTTAAAAAAATATTTAAATTGACAACATAATTATTCATAAAGCTAATTAGTTATCTCGTTAGGATTTCTTCTTCGGGTATTGCTTTTACCACTTTTGGGCAAACTATTGTGATATTTTGTACAATACACTTTTTTTTTTACAAAATTCATCTGAATGTATGAATGGCATATGTAATTTTGTTTTAAATGATTGTATTTCCTGGCAAATAGTGCATGACATAGTATTCTTGGGGTGACCTGTGGAGGCAGCCCTCAGTTTAAATACTCAACATGACATCTGGGGAAGTTAAGCTCTAGTTACTACAACATTTATAGACTTGAAATTATTGGGAAGTGTAGTGCTAGCTACAGGCAATCTTCCTTCTAAGCTGCGCGGGTGCATTGTAGTTTTGAACATGCCGCGCAGTCATTATGTAGAAGCATAAATCCTTATATAAGACTTTCAGAACACAGCGCACACAAAATTCACGTCACACACTAACTTTCTCCACTTAGAGGGGATGCTGGCTACAGGTAGCAATTTATACAATGTAAACAATCCTGATGGCAATATTTGGTTAAACATAATTCAAAACCAAAGTAAATCATCTCTAAAATCAAAACAAGTTTTCTGGTCATCCATTTAAGATGTCCACAAAAAAATATTTTTTTTTGCTCCACATCCCCCCCCCCCCCCCAATTTACTATGGGCTAACCCATCCCCCTCTTGAATAGGGGATCAACTCTAAGCAGTGACTGACATTAAAATTAGTTACTTAAAATATTCTTGAATTAATAGAACATCTATTTTAAAAAGAGATAAAAATCACTTAACTTCAATATTTTAGTATTAATTCTAGCCTTGTTTTTATATCAGTATTGAGAAACTTCATATAAAAAAAAAACAATACAATAACATTGTATTAAAAAAAACTTGTGCTTTAAGAAGAAGAAAAAAACTATTTGATTTAATTTAGTAGTTTTTCATTAAAAACCTTTAAGCTGTTCAGCTGCATTGTAAAGTGTTCAATGGGTATGATATCATCTTTTATAGGATGACTTTTAAAAAAAGATATGTTCATATATATGTTACAATACTATTTAAATGGCATTTGTTAAAAGTAACATGGCATTTGTTAAGTAACGCAATATGTGTAAATTTAGGGCTTTAAATTATGTTAAACAAGCAAACTATTAACTTGTGATTATGTTTTCAAAGCCTTTTTTTATTTAACAACTATTTTGGTCTATAAACTTTTTCTAAGATTTAAAAAAAATTCTCTTATTTAATTATTTGAAAAATTAATTTAATACATGAAATAATTTTTTTTTTTTATTTATAAATATATATTTTGCACTTTCAAACACATTAATAAATAAGGAAAACACTTTAAAAAACTAAATGTAAGGTTTTGTAGTAACTTGTGCTAGTTTTTTTTAAAACCTCAAGATATTCAGAGATATGATCTATAGCTACATGAACTGGATTCTATACCAACATTATGTGGGCTAGCTAGTGTGCAGTCACCCTTATCAGTGAATACATGTTTTACATGTGTAAGTTATTTAAAAATTAAAATATATTATTTTAAGTGAGGAGCATAATGGGAATAAATTCAACTTGGTAAACAGAAATCTCTTCTGATCAAATTAAAAAACAGAGTGGTGTCCCTTGTTTGTGCTCTCAAATTCTATGTACAGTATTCTACTCACTGGTAACATCCTGTTTCACTTACACAAATAGCCAGTAATTTTTGTTTTAAATACTTGTGTTATACTTTTATACTTGTGACATTTTGTATGGTTGTTTCTACTTTTATATTTTGTTTTTTTTTTTAATTTAATGCTGTTACAGATTAACTGTAAATTAAAAAAAAAAAAAAAAATTTGTAAGAATATTCAAAAGAACCAAAACCACTGATATTTTAATCAAATGCTGTATTTAAAAAATGTATTTGAAATGGCTGTGCAGTACAGGAATACAGATAATAACTAGCCAACCGATTGGTTGATTTGCAGTCTTTGGATATGAAAAAAGCTCTTCAAGTTAATTGTTGGCGCTCAATGTACAAATATTATTTCTGATTTAACAAAAATGTTAAAAAATAATACAATGAACCAAGATGTATATTTAATAAATTTGTGTTCTTTAGTTGTTTGCGGTTGTATATTTTTAAAGATACTTTTGTTTTGTCATAAAATTGTATATCATAATTGAGACTAATATATTAGATACTGTCAGCAGTAGAAAAACCAAAGTTTGGTAGATGAGGTGGGTTATCTGCCCCTGGTTTAACCTCTGGTGTAGGCAGGGTGTGCGGGGGGGGGGGGGGGGGGGGGGGGGGGGGGGGGGGGGGGGGGGGGGGGAAACGACAACACACACCAAAATGACAAATGTCTTGATAGCAAATGACAAGTGCTCTTGTGGATTTCAATGATTCTAGTTGCAAAATAAATAATATAAAAAAACCACATTTACTATTTACATTCTCCATAATGTTATGGAATATTATATAGGCCTTATATATAAAAGCCTATATTATAAAACTGATAAGTTATATATGTATATGGTGAAAAGTTTTTGACCCTCTTCCTTTCCTTCCCCCCCCCCCCCCCCCCCCCCCCCCAACCATGATAAAATCATATCTATTCCACTGATATTTTATTTATAAAAAAAATACTAATATAACATAGCCACACTACCATGCAGAATATATTAACTAATATAACAAGTGGGTTTTATATGGTCTATAAAAAAATATTAATTTTTTTAAAATTTTTTTTTGCATTAGAAAACTTTAATATTTCATAATAAATTTCAGACAAAACATATTTTCATAGAAACTTTGAAATTAATATTTGAGAAATATAAATTTTGTAATTTTGTTTGTGTTTTTATCTGGCAAGTGAAATAATTTTATTGTTCAAAATAACTTTTTATTAAAATAAAAAATAATTGTGCACTGGCTACTATTTTTATAATGTTTAATGTACTAATAATGTTCAAAAATTAAAGAAAAAAAAGTTACAATCCTTCAGCCTGTTATTTCTTTATGCAAATTTTCTTACTTATTTTTTACAAGCCATAAATGGCATATCTGACATATGCCACATTAATAAGATGCTCAAAGCTCTATGTGCTTTTAATTTTTATTCTTAATTTATAGAATAGGATATAGAAAGTCAAACCAATGAGATTTTCTGTTGTAAATCCATAAAAAAAATCTGTAAAAATATCTGAACAATCTTGTAAAATCCTAAGGCCATCATGGGCTTATTGAATTGGCGTATATGTGACATGGAACAAATAGGGGTCGTCCATAAATGACGTCACACTCGTAGGGGGAGGGGGGTCCCTAATTTTGTAACTGGTGGTGTGATGAGGGGCAGGGGTTCAGATGGTGTGACGTCACTTTTTAGCATTATAAAAAAACAACGTTAGAAAACGAATTTTAGCCGTTATTTTGCGTTTTAGAAAATTGTTTTAATAAATTGTAATAGGAATTGATTAAAATACACTATGTTGAGAGAGTTCAGAAAAGTTTTGGAAAAATATCGATGTTTTAAGAAAAATTCAACTGCAATTTTGAGGGGGTTGTAGACTGAGGTGTGACGTCATTTTAGGGGGGGGGGTCTGGCTTTTTGTGACGGAGGGGAGGGGGGGGGGAAGGTAAAAGTCGTCATAAAAGCGTGACGTCATTTATGGATGACCCCATATCACATAGGGCACATTTGGCATCAGCATCATGTATTACATGGGCCATGTATGTATGACATATTGATTACGTTTTACATGTGGCATGTTGGACATAAGGAACAAGTATTGTATAAGTATAAAGAATGCGT